TCGTGGGTTTGATCCCAGGTCCGACCTTCCTGTGTGGAGTTTGCATGTTCTCTGCGGGCCTGCGTGGGTTTTCTCCGGGTACTCCGGTTTCCTCTCACCTTCCAAAAACACGCATGGCAGGCTGATTGAACACTCAAATTATCCTTATGTGTGAGTGAGAGCGTGGATGGTTGTTCGTCTCTTTGGGCCCTCGATTGGCTGGCAACTGGTTCAGGGTGTCCCCCGCCTACTGCCCAAAGACAGCTGGGATTGCGCCAGCACCCCCCACGGCCCACGTGAGGATAAAGTGGATTGCAAAATGGATGAATGAATGGATGATGTCTATTTTAGAATGATTTTGGCTATGTTCAATCTTGCTTCAAAACCAGAAAAGTTATGGTATAGATTTTGTTCGATCGCTTCCACATTTAAAGCACATATATGTTACTAGACAGTTGAAAGAAGCTAAAGTGGAAAAAAAAAAGCTTTTGTCGCCCCATGTAGGCTAAGCATGATTGCTAAATTTGATCAGCCCCCCATAAAACACATAACTCCTTATAACTTAACTCCACACGGCCAGAAGTTGACCCTCATGTGTTTAGGGTCCTTCCGTGACAAGAATCACAACATAGGCACACCTGATGAGTCGATACTTGGTCTAGTGCAAATATCGAGGCAAATTCTACACATGCTCTAAATCCTTGGAAAAAAATTCCCAGATGAATGGTGTGCATGGTTTTATATTTTTGTATTCACTTTGCCTGCAAAAACTTCAGTCAGCATTTTTTCTTAGGGGAATTTGCTTGTTGGAAGGAGAAATGACATGCCTCAACACTCCACTGACGTACCTTCCTTGCTGCGTCTGACTCCCCCGCACACCTGGGATGGCCATTTTATTTCAGAGTGCAGCAAATGGAAAGGTGATCTTAATCTACCCCGCACCGCCGCCCCCACAAGCCCCCGCCCACTGGCTATCTCGCACACACAGAGCGTACTGCTGATGGACAGACTGCAGTTCACGGTCGCATGTGCAGCGAATGCACTGATGAAGACTATTCGATGCATTGTTTGACTACTTTAAGCAAAGAAACCGCTTCGCGGGGCCTGCGATGGAGCAATCGGTCAAAGTATTTCGACCTGACCTCCCTCCATTAGCTCGTTACTCGGCGTGAGGCCTCCCTCGCCACTGTTTGCACTTTGGTCATTGCGGTCACAAGCAGCGGCATGCGCTGGCCATTGATTTCCCCTGAATAGCTCGCTGCAGGCCAGTTCATTATGAGGGTGTCCACACACCGCTGGATTAGTGGGACTGCGGATGGATAGAGTGGCTCTTTCTCACAATGCATTTTCATTTATTGACTAACATGAATACATTTGAAGACGTAGACGTAAAATGATCATATTTCGGGATGCAGTCATGATCAGGGAAAAGAAGCCATGTACTTTTCCTGCTACACTCCCTTCACTTGTTCTCTTCAACACATGGCTCGAGGCTGGACTCTAGCCGATGCTCCACCCGCTCAAATAGTTACCATGGCAACGCTATCGGGGCCTACCAAGACCTGAAGCCGAAGGACATGCTGGACAACAATACAATAGCAGCACACCCAGGGTACCTGAGGGACTTAGACCTGAGAGGGAGGTATATACATGTATATGTGTGTGTGGGTGTGCAGGGAGGGGTTTGGAGGTGGAGGCGGCAGATTGAGAAGGAGCAAATCCACCCTCCCTTCTACCGCTCTACCTCCATCACACACACAAACACCACCAGGATTAGTCTTGCGCTGGAGAAGTACTGGACGATAGGTGGCATTTAATCAAGCCCTTTGTTTCTGGATAAATTAGTGGTTTCGTGGCTCCAAAAAGGATGGCGTAATCCTTGTCCCCATTCAGCATTTCAGTTCAGATCTATTTGGTGAGATATGGTAGGCCTGTTCTGTGGCGTTACACTGATCAGTACAGTTTCCTGGGACATGGATGCTTTGCAGACAGATCATCTCTTTGCTGCTGTCTGTTTATTGGTCAGCTGTCACATGCCGGCCTAACTAAACTTAAATTGACAATTAAAAGGGAATGGACCTAGCCGGTCCCTGTCTACACATTATGTGGTCGAAACGCATCCCAGATGTCAGGATTTAACAATAATTGTACTAAAGAGAACCAAAGTCGATAGCTATTGTGGTTGAGTTTTCTGAATGAATGTGAACATCGCTTCACACATTTACATCAGGACATCGGGAGTTTATCCGCCTTTTCATTTATTTCCTGATAATACCCGCAAAGAATTCTCATCGTTTAGCTTCTTTGTTTCATTAATTGTCACACTATTTACAGTTGTGTAGCAGACTTAGCAGTCCGACCAACATTCACGCACACCAACACACCAGGCCCAACTACACTGAGACAAGCTGAACCGATCTGCAGTATGTTTTTAGGGAATGCAAACAAAGCAGTCCAAGTGGTTTCGGTGATAAGTCAATAAAATTAAGCCTTTCTGGTTCATTTATGTGCTGTACTCTGTATATGAACGAAAGCTTCAAAGTTTCACTGAGAGACGATTCAAAGTTGTACCATACGGAGGCACGTCAACCTGAACTGTGCGATTGGTAGAAACATGACCTTGCATGAGTTGATTTGCCCCATTGAGTCAATCAGGTCAGGAAAGCATCAACACCATTCATCACCAACTGAGGTTTATTTCGTGTAGTGCAACAGACATGAAGGATTAACAGCGATACCACATGGAGCCGACTTGCCGTGCTTGTGTTCTTTCTACACGTCTGCTAGAATAATAAGAGGGCTAGCTAGTTGCTACCTAAGGTCATCTCCGACTGAGGGGGATGTGGAATATACATTGTTGTTATTGGCTCCATTAGCTTTACAGTAGCAGTATTTACAGGCCACCAGGCAGAGGCTGAGTGCTCGCACTGGGGGCAGGAGAACGTTTGTCTGCAAGTGTGTTTGCTGCGCATTTGTAATTTTTTTTTTCCCTGCCTGAATGACACGAGTAACCGTGACCTGGCGGTGGTGTTGCAACAACTGTTGAGTAACAACTTATACAAGGCAGTTATTGTCCGTCAGTGAAAGACGAATAGGCTCGCGGCAGCCCACCAGCCGGCCGAATGTCTGAGTTAAAACGGCATAATGACTCATCATAATTCATGTCAGCATTTGATCATCGTCAGAATTAAAAGTATATCATTGGACATCTTGACATGCATACATTTGTCACTGAAAAGTTCAGTTTTTATAATATGGGTATTAAATTTACGTCTGAGTGAATTTGAGTGTCTGGAAATGTTTATCACCAAATTATAAGAACGTTACACATACAACAGACTGAATTGTTGGTACAGTGCTGTTTAGGATAGAAAACCACCAAATAATTACCGAAATATATTCAAACCGATAAAAGTGATAATAAAAAAAAAGTTACTGAAAATGAATGAATAAAATCCAATTACTGTTTTCTTTCATAGTCGAACAGAATCATTTTGTATTTCAAAATAAATGAAACCAGCTCTTGCAATAATTATGGTACCCTTAACTTAAAAGTGTATTTTTTCAAGGGTCTCATCACCAGAAATAATTTCTGTCATTCTGAATGAGACTTTTAGCACATCACAACAGGTATTTTTGGCCCACTATTTATGAGCCAAGTGGTTGGATGGCTGTCTTCTCCAGAGTGCATTTTTCAGCTTCTTTCACAGACATCCAAAAATGTTAATAGGACTCTTTAAAATAGTCTGAAGTTTTGTTCTTGGCCATTCTTTTTTTTTTTCTTTTTTTTTTTTAATTGGCTCTGTGTTTATATCTTTATCCCATTGAAAGTCACATGACCTGCAACTTCCACCAAGTTTTCGAACCGTGGGCAGCACATTTCACTCCAGAATGTCTTGATAGTCTTGAGATTTCTTTGTACCCAAAACAGGTGCAAGGCATCCTGTGCTGGATTTAGCAAAGCAGCCTCAGAACATAACTGCGCCTGCTGTTTGTTTCAGTGGTTTCAGTGTTCTCTTCTTTCTACAATGCTATCATTGCTGAAATACATTGAGACAAAGACTGGAATTTGCTATAATGCATTTTGACAAGACACAATTCTTCTGGGCTATTCTTCTTGTGATGTTTTAAATCAACATTTACAAAAATCATGTCTATAATGTGTGGATTTTTTTTCCTCTGCATTTTTTAAATATGCTAACATTATGAGCACCAACTGCCAATTTATATTAGCCGTTCCTAGTTGTTACTCCCAAATCAATGATTCGACACATAGATGAATAGATGCGTAGATTGATCAATTGATAGATGGATGTGTGGCAAGTATTGTAGAATACATCTTTATATACACCGCTTTATATTATTGATGTGTATTATTAGGGCAAATTTTTCCTACTGTGCGGGAAGTAAAATTCTGACTTTAGGACTATTGCTTGTATCATCAACACATGCACATCAAATAAAATCAATTAAATAGAAAAAAAAATTAAATTAAAAAATCAGCACATTTGCTAATTTTACATTTCAGACAAAGATAGGCTGGGCAAAGACTGTGGATGGCCAATGTTGCCCAGAGGCCAAAATTTGCCCAGGTCTGCCCTAATCCTAATTTGAACCCCCTAATGCTATCTGCAAAAACCTCAAACCCAAATCCGAACGCTATCACCCCCAGTCTAATATTTGCAAAAGTTTGTGAGACCATCCAGTCATCCTGTTTTCTCTACCATTTGTTCAGTTCGTGCTCATGGTAGTTCATCAGACAAAAGAACTCCCTTTCTTGGCTGCAACACCGGTTGATTGCGAACACAGTGACAATTGATCCCATGCGATCTCCACGGCAGTCACATAAGGGAACGGCAACGCTAACAGTGGGTTCAGTTTACAAAATGCTGGTCTAGATTTTAGCCTTTTAGGGTCAGAAATCAACTCCCACTGTTCCTCTGTTTGTGACAGACAGATGTGTTTACTTCTTTGCAGGTCCTAATTCAACATGCTAAAACCTCCTGTTTGTCACTTCACAGGCCGCCGAAGAGACAGGATGTTAATGCTTGACGGAATGCCTGCAGTCCGAGTCAAAGCCGAGCCCCTGGAATCGGAACAAGGGGTAAGCGAGCAGTTGTTTTCCAGACGATTCCCCATTTCCCTCACCCCCACACCCCGCCCCCACCCCCTCTTGCTTTCCTCTCCGTCGTTCCTCCTCCCGGCAATGGGCAGATAATCACTCCCAGGCCTTAGCGAGTGAGACAGCAAGCGTGGGGGCTCTGAGGAGTGGTCGGAGAGCATGGTAGTGAGGAGGAAGAGAAGGCGAGCCACAGCTGGGACAGGAATGCATTACGAAGGAGGAGGTGGTTAGGGGGCGATTGTTTGGGAGTCCTTACTAGTTGGGGGCGATTGTCAGCAGAGATGCTGGGTCACATGAGAAACTCAGAGTCTACTATCTCTCCCCATCTTTATGTTCTCCCATTGATCCTCCTCTTGCCCTCCTGTCTTACAAACACATGAATAATCTTCCTCTTGTGTGCACAACATCCAACGCACAAACAAACGCAATCCTCCTCTTCCTCTGAAGAGCACTATCACAGCTCCATCTCCTCCTCAACTCCCCCCTCGCTCTCCCGTCGCACCTTCTATTGCCAAGTATGAATCACAGACGCAGAAGTTAAACGTCGCAATTCAAGCCTTTCGCTAAACTCCCATCGGGCGCCGTTGTCTTTAAAAAAAAAAAGTTCATTCTTAGTTGGGTCGGGTTTATAACGATGTTACCTCACGCAGGCTTTGCATGGCCCTTGTAGAGTGTCAGGGCTCTCTGGTCCAGCATACCTATAAATAAAGTGGTCTTGTTATGGAGAAGCTGTTGCTAGGTTACAGGGGCTTTGTGTTGCTGCCACAGCTGTGTGTGTGTGTGTGTGTGTGTGTGTGTGTGTGTGTGTGTGTGTGTGTGTGTGTGTGTGTGTGTGTGTGTGTGTGTGTGTGTGTGCATGCCGCGTGTGCAGGTCACCACATTTCTGTAATAATGATGCATTAATGCTCAATTCCTTTTGATATAAACTCATATTTGTGATGCAGTACCTTTTAAATCTCTCCAAAAATCACTTGAAATGTTCTTTATACACAATCTAAAATGGAGCAGAATAAATTATCATCTTGTGAAATATTTTTTAACGGAAGAAATGTTGCAGGTGGCTAATGCATTGTGAGGCCCAAGCTGGAAAAGTGGCGCAAATTCTCAAATATCTCACATGCACTGCGGAAAATGTAATTGTACCAACAGATAATGTCCAAATTTAGAGGGTTTCTTTGTTCATGAGTTGTACAATGCCAAAGGATTTCCAACAGAGCTCAGGATATTTTTGGTAGCTATTAAATGCCTTAATCGTTTACATAATTCCGTCGATGATCTGTCCTATACGTAAACATAATCACAATTCATTCCACTTAGTAGTCAAGCAGTCTGACTGACTTTGAATGCGCCTCATTATTCCTGTGGCTCAAAAGATTGGTTCCGCTCTTGAGTTTGTTGTGGGAGGGTTATTTTTCAGAATCAGGAGTGATATTGATGATCTTCCAGGTATTATGAAACCTTCAGGTGATCATGGCAGGCATCTAAAACAGGCTGGATAGGGGATCTCAAGGACTGGACTTGGGCACCCCTGGTGGAAATAGTGAATGTCAGAATGTTTGGACAGGGGTGTGATATCGCTGACCCAACACTCATTGCGTACCGGGAACGTCGCATTCCGACAAGTGTTTTGTACATCACACCAGTTGCTGGCGTTGACGTCATTAGAATTATCTGGTCCCAAGATGCCGTGTTGCTCTGGACAAGCATCGAGTTCCCGACGATGCGCCTTTATAGGATTTGGTGTTAAACGCTAACACAGTTTATCGCTGAGTGTTCTGTTACGCAGGGCTTGACAGTACGCCCCATATGCTCGTAAACTTTTCAGTGCGTGCGGGTAAGAATTTCATCCGATTGCACTGGCGCGAGTGCATGTTTTAATGTTCCTACTGTTCCATGGGCGTGGTTGGAGGGGTTGTACAGCGAAGGTACTCCAACTCGACTGCTCTGTCAGAGAGCGCACACAAGGCGGAAACCCATGTACGACACGTGCCATGTTAAATCCTTCTTGTATAAAGATAAAAAAATAAATATACAAGTCTGGATATGTACTTTCCCACATTGACCGACGCCGAACTTAACGAGCACTATTTGCTTTATAAAAGACGGCTTCGGATTCAGCTCGCTCCCATTCACTGAGCTGCTCATGACTCGCTCTGCATCTTGGCATCAGAGACTGCGCGCTTGTCATCCAGTTTTCTATGTTGAGTTTTAAATACTGTTAGGTATCACTGTTGTAAAACACAATATGTACATGGCTGTTTGGGTCTCCAACTGTCAAGCGGTGCTGCGAAACTACGTACACAGCTTTCTTGGCTTCTGTGTAAAAACCCAAGGCAGATCAGATCTTCTGATAGGACTATTCTGTGGTATCTCTGTGTCAAAGAGGTTATTTGTTCCTTGGTAATTTTGGGTGATACTTGAAAAACCAATGCATGATACCAGTGAAGCATCACTTGGAGTCACGTAGTCAAGATGAAGCAGAGGTCATTCGTGTGTGCATGTTGAATGGGAAGAACACAAGATCGTTGTAGCCAGATGGGTTATCTTGGGTCTTGTGGTCACATTTAGTCGGTACTACTTGCTGATAAGAAATCTCCACATCTGAGCACTTAAGTATGGCAGCAGGTGGTTCCTCTCCGGGTCTTTCTGGGCATTCTGTTCCCTACCGTGCCTCAAGGCTGTTGAGTCTTCTGAAGTCACCCTCCATTCGTGCCGCGATGTCAATCTGGATGCGACCTCAAGCGGCTTTGAAGTGCGCCGAGATCCAATCTCCCGCCCCCAAATGACTGCGCCTCCCTGTTACAGGGCAGACAGGCCGCGACAAAAATGTGGTCTTCATTTGGGTGGCAGGGAGCCAAGGCTGGAAATATGGCCTGACTCGTTAGACCCTTCCTCTGCAAGGGGCTGAAAAATGGGCCCTGCTAACCACTATCCCCTATTAAAGACAATGGCAGCAGAACTGAGACAAGTAGGTAGATCGAGTACATCTTTGTGTGTGTGTGTGTGTGTGTGTGTGTGTGTGTGTGTGTGTGTGTGTGTGTGTGTGTAGAGAGAGAGAAGGGGGGTTGTGTCTGTCAAAACAACAGCGGAGGTGTTTTCATTTTTCCTGTTTCTGTCGCTTGATTTGAATGCCAAGTTTTTGTTTTTGTCAGTGGACAACAGATCCTACTGAAGAATCAAATAATATTGTTTGTCTTTTTTTTTTTTTTCAAGTTCTGAACTACTGTTATATTAGTGACTTATTGAGCTGCATAATACTGCCGGAGTTGTGCCATGGCATAGCTATCAGCCATAAAGCTGACATCATGTATGATGGACTTACAGTATTTGGGAAAATAGTCAATAAAGACTTCTTCAATAACGACAACTTTTTTTTCAACCAGGAGACATCCAGGAAACTACTTGCGAGTGAATTAGCTGAACCTCTGCTGAGTGCAGCATGTTTAAACAAAAAAAAAGTCCATTGTGTTGTGTGCTCTTTGTAACCTTGGCCATTGAATGATGGGACGTGAGGATCTCCTGTACTGTATATAAGGTCAAAGATGTTCATTAGTTGATGCGGCCCTGAATTATAGATGGAATATTAAATGTCATGAGCACAATCATACACGCCAACACAATTCACAGGGGCATGGCCAGAAATTTGTCAGTGGGGTGTTGGCCCTGCGTGCGTGCATGCATCCTTCTTTATAATACCGTTTTGCCATTTTTATTTTTATTTTTTTGCCAGTGTATTGCTTTTGTGTGCTATCTCATAGTTGACTTCTATCTCAAGCACTGAATCGCCAGCTAACAGCCAATGAGATTGATCAATTGTCACCTACAGCCAACGTTATTTTGCATATTGCGATCAATGGCTCACTCATTCACATATCTAAAAATCACAATGACACAAAAATCGTTTAAATCCTTACAATTTTAAACACTGCTTTTAACAGAGGTTTGCTCCTGCTGGTATTATGAGTGTGTGTGCAAGATTGGTCTAAGTGTGTATTTTCACTGTGGATGGTTTGGTAAACAGTGGTTTTTCGACAGTGTTAATTGCTTGCTATGGTGTGGAAGTAATAATTTTGACTGATGTTCTCTTGAATGTTCTTTACTTAAGACATTTTATTTTAGATTTTGCGTTCAGATCAATTGAATAGATATTCTTTAAATGTGCAATGAATCAAAATAACTTGAGGCAGAGTATCAAGGCGTATAAGAATCCTGCATCCAAGTGGAAATGGAGGAAGAATTACAGGTATCAAGTTTTCTCCTAGCTGCCCAAACGGGTGGGCTGAGACCACTGGCCGACATGTAGCTCTGCCCCTGAAAAGTCAGATATTTTTCTTCATAAATACAAACTGTACATTTTCCTTATCACCTCCAACCATTTGAACTGGCATGATAAAAATCCTATTTAGGCCTATGCAGAGTAATACTACTACAGCACTACAAATAGTTGATTTACTGGTACTGGTACTGGTCCAAAATGCTTTAAGGTGGTTGGGTTTCAAGGTCATAGGGGCACATATTTAGTTTTTGGGAGAATTCTTAGTGGGTGGTTCTGTGAAGCGGACCATATCCATACGCCATAAACCTTGACCCGACGCCGCTGAACCCCAGGTGAACCCGTCCAGAATGGTGGCGGGGTTTGTTTTTCACTGGCGAGGGCGTTATGGAGTAAACAAGCATTTTCATTCTATTCATAAGCTCGTAACATTTCCTGTAGGCTGAGTATACAAGCTTGGAGTATAAATAGTAGGCTACTATAAAAAAAAAAAAAAATGAACACACGCTACTTGGAAGACGGGGGAAAAAAATCTGAATTCACTACTCGCAGCCAGCATTACATAAGCAGAATGAAATGTGAAGTGGGGGTGAAAATCCATGGCGGGGCACATTTTTCATAGCCGGCTTTTCCTTCTAGATTTAATAAGCTTTACGCGTCCGATTAGTTAAAAGAAAAAAAAATAAGTGCCATATGAGCTCCCTCCCCAACGGGCCTGTGAAAGGCCTCACTGTTAGGATCATGACTTGTGGCACCCCTCCCACACGTGACACGCTCTAGACAAAGATCACTTGAAATACCCAAGACGGCTTTGAGGGGAAACAAGTTTGTGATGCGTTCAGGGTCACATCGGAGCGCCAGAGTTACAGCGGGGCTGTCAGAGAGAGAGAGGGGGGGAGAGAGAGAGAGAGAGAGAGAGAGAGAGAGAGAGAGAGACACGGGCAGGAAATTGAGCCCATATGATGTTTTTTTTTCCACAAAGGAGATTTAAGAGGAGGGGGTAGGCAATACACAGAGGCACATTTCTGGGGGAGTGATGGAAAACAGGAGGAATTGAGAGGCGGAACAACGCAGGGAGTGAAAGAGAGGAGATGATGAAAGGTTACAAGTGCTGAGTGACACTATCTTTATTATGTCGCCATGTGTTTCTCAGCATTTTGGGCATTGCCTCAGCGAGAATGCTATCGCTTTTGCAGTATGTGCACATCGAGGTTCAATGTTGCCTCTCTGCCAGTCGTCAGTTGAATTCATCATCAAACTCGTCGTAGTAAATTTGGTGCACAACATGATTCCCAGTTTGTCAGACATGGTCATTTCAAGACCCTTACTGATTTTTGCCCCCCCCCCCAAAAAAAAATGTTGTTTTTGTTCATTACTTCTCAACTAACCCTCCAAACACAAAAGGTCATGGTAAGAAGACTATTGATTTTTGGAGGAATCGAAGCATGAGAGCAGATGAAGAATGTGTGTGACATTTATCTTCATTATGTTATTTACTTTTTCCCGTAGTTGGTTTAGGGTATATGTAAAGTACAGTAGAAAAAAAAGATGGCTTACTATGCAGTACAATAGCAAAAATCCTGTTAGTTTTTAATGACATTTGACAATAGAGTCTCATTTGGTGCCAAGTCTTTGCCGCACCAAAGATTCATTTCTCAACTGAATGATTTCTGAACCATGATGGTTGGAGTAGATGGGATGAAAATTTAGGTTGCTTTTGACCTCTCTGCCAGTCAAAAAAAGTGTCAATTGATCTTCAAACCGGCATAATTAGATTACTCTTAATTTTGAATCAAACAGTGTAAGAGGTCAATTTCTTCTTTAATTCGATGGCTTTTTTTTTTTTTTTTTTGCAAAATATCCAACCTATGACGTTTCAACGGTCAAAGCTGTGGGACATTTCTTCTCATCCATCCATTTTCTGCAGCTATGCTCCTCATTAGATTTCTGTGAAAGCTGAGCGAGGGCAAGAGGCTCACACCCTGCACTGGTTGCCGATCAGTTACAGGCCACATATAGACAAACAAGCATTCTCAATCTTATTCACACCTCGAGACAATTTTGAGTCTTGAGTCAACCTAACACACACACATACACACACGTTTTGGAATGTGGTAGGGAAGCCTGACTGCTCTGATAAAACCCCTGCAAGGAGCAAGAGAACATGCATACTCCACACAGGAAAACCGAAGTTGAGATGTGAACCCAGGATCTTTCTCCTGTGGGACTGCTGTGCTACCCACTTGCCTCACTAAGTCTCAACTGATATTCAAACTTTCAGTGTTTCATACTCTGTCACACTCCTATTATATGAGATCCAGTTCCAAATGTTTCAAGAGTGTTTCAATTGTATTTCTAAATGAATGCGTCTCTCCTTCCGCAGTCACCCAAAGTGCGGTCTTATTCCGCGATGGACGGCGTCCCCTTCTTTCTCAGCAGAGTGAAACCCGAGCCTCCGGAAGACCTGCTGGCCCACGACCTGCACTTCCACACGCAGACCGAGCCGGTGGACCTGTCCATCAACAAGCCTCGCCCCTCTTCTTCTTCCACCACCACGTCATCCTCCTCCCCGCTGAGATCCGCTTTTTCGCCGTCCTCGCTGTCGTCGTCGTCCTCTTCGTCCTCTCCGTCGGTCATTACCTCGGCGGCGTCGGTGCTCTCGCCGGGCCCTCTGGTTGCGCCCGGGATGAGAGGTCAGCCATATTTGCACATCCTGCACTCGGTGCCGCCGCCTCCGTCCAGCCCGCTGGGCCTGCAGGGCGCCGGAAAGCTGAGCAGCCGTGTTCACCGCATCCCGGTGGTGGTGCAGTCGCTGCCGCTCATGTATACCACGGCCATGCGTTCGCCCTCCAGCCTCAACAACGCCATCATGCTACCTCTGCTGGACGACGCCAAGAGCCAGGGCAAAGGTGAGACCAGTGTGCTGTTTAGTGCTAAAAATATTTGTGCCTGTGCAAATGAATGAGTCGAGCCAAGGAGACATTTTATTGAAAACAGTTCTCCGGTGTCTTAATGAAAGGTCTCTAACTTTTCCGTCAAATCACCCCTTTGTAGGAAGTGGAAGGGGCGTTTCTGTCTCATGCAAGTGCAGAGTCTGACTTTTGTTACCATGACAACCCAGGTAGAGCCAGAGCATGTGGTGTTGCGAGCTGCTACTCAAAGTTGCCAACTCTGGAACTTTGTCACAACAATTTAGCCAACAAACAAAAAAAGATTCAACTATGAAATTAAAATAAAACTCTCAGTGATGGGCAAGAGTCGACCAGATGCATCGTGTCATTTCAACAATATCAACACGTGCAAGATAATTAGCCACTGTTTAACACAACTAAAATACAAAAGAGTCACGCATGCAGGTGTAAAAAATAATGACATCACTATCCAATTAAAATAATATAACAAACTGCTCACGCTTCAATGGTGGTGTTCACTCCATATTTCACAAGTGTAAAAGTTAAGTGAAAGGTTCTCGAATAAAACAAAGCTAAAGACGAGCACTTTGATGATGCATTTGCAATTTTGATATTAATAATTTAATAAAACAAATGGAACCAGTCATGCTTTGACAATTCGTGAGGGATTATTATTCATTTAATGTTTTTATCTGTTATGCCAAGTATTAAAGACATTTTGTAAATGACTGTAACTCCACAGCTGCACTTTGGCGACACATGACAAAATGGACTTGGTGGATTTCACATGCTCAATTATCGAAACTCTTCCAGTAGAGTTCAGCAGTGTTGCAGCACAACACTGAAGGCGAGCAACACGAATATTAAACTTTCCCATATCATGTAAAATCTCACAAATAACGATCACTTAGAAACTGTGAAGTCTGAGACTTAGCAGGGGACACTGTACTCACTCTTAAGTCCAAGGATGCGTGCAGAAGGACATTTCCTGCATGTCTGCCTGATGAGTCTTCACATAAATACGAAACACCTCTGGTCCTAATATATTATTCTCTTTTTATTGTCAAGTTGGCCATGAAAATGTACAGTGCTGTGAAAAAAATATTTGCACCCCCTCCTGATTTCTGGATTTGTTTGTTCGATCACACACAAAGGTTTCGAATCGGCCTGACTTTTTGGCTCATCAGTCCACAGAATTCTTGGTCATCATCAAGATGTCTTTCGGCAAATGTGAGACGAGTCTTTGTGTTCTTTTTGGACAACAGTTGTTTTCGCCTGGGAACTCTCTGGTGGATGCCATTTTTGGCCAGTGTCTTTCTTATGGTAGAATGGTGAACACTGATCCAAACTGAGGTCAGCAAGGTCTCGAATTCTTTGGATGTTATTCTAGGTTCTTTTGCAACCTTCTGGATGAGTCGTCGTCACACTTTTGGAATAATTTTAGCTGGTCGACCACGCCTGGGAATGTTTGCCACTGTTCCAAGTGTTCTCCGTTTGTGAATAATGACTCTGACAGTGGTTTGCAGGAGCCCCAGAGTCTGAGAAATCGAACTTTCCCAAAACTGTCGTTAGTCACAGTTACTTTGTGATTTAACAAGGGAGGGGCAATCACTTTTTCACAGAGCGTCAGAAAGTTTTGGACTTTTTTGGGGCCTGAATAAATTTGTCATTTGAAAACTGCATTTTGTATTCCCTTTGGTTGCCTCTGAACACCAAAACTTTTTTCACGGCACTGTAGGTATGTAGTGAGCATCCAGGGCAGAGACAAATGTTCCAGTGTTTTTGAAAGACAAGGTTTTTTGTTTGTTTGTTTTTAATGTAGTGTACGCAAACCTGGCGACCCACCATTGTGTTATAAAACCGAGTTCAGAGGCCATCTCTTGAAGCAAGTATCATGGAAGGACCTCCCAAAATGATTACGGTACATTTAGGTTCAAGGATCATGTTTTTTTTTTTTTTTTTAATGTCAGGAGAACCAGAAAGGCAATATGCGAAGTTTGCAACTCAAAGATAAGAGATATCGGTTACTATAAACCCCCAAAATATAGGTAAGCCTATATTTTAGCTTATCAATGACCTCTCCTTCATGTTGGCTGTGTGTTTAATTGAGAAAAAATTAAGGAATCGAGAGTACAGAGGCTGGAATGGAACCATGAAAAAATGTATTTGTGAATATGCTAGTTACCAACTAACGCCGGTACAGATATTGAGAGTAAAGGGGCTAATGTGTGTGCAAATGTGGCTGGGCAAGATTTTATGACTTGACGTGTTTAACCCAAGTAATAGCTTGACTCTTTAGAAATTTAGTGTAGAATTTTTTTTCCCACGATACTTTGGGCATTGCTTGAATCTTAAAGTTGATGGTTTGAGCATTACGTACACCGTAGCTTGCGCACATGCGACTCACTCCTACATTTGATGGTAACCTTGTGTCTTGCGTCAAACAGCGTGCCACAACTTTGTGTGTGTTCTGCTCTTGAGGACCCGCTCAGGCAATGATGCTGCCCTTCAGAGGTGAACAAGCTCTTAGGTGCTGTTTGTTGCCTTTTATTACAGGTAGCAGCAGCAAAGCAGTAAACATCTGCAGCACTTCCAATGTCGTGCAGGGTGTGACTGCTTCTCTCTCTTTGGGTGGGGTTTTTACTGCCAACCACGGGGAGGGAACCGACACTGGCCGCTCTTGTCCACCTCCCGCACCATACACAGAGCAAGTGTTCATTTTTCTAAAAGAGGCTGCTTTTGGTCACATCCTGCAAGGATGGACATTTAGGCTTCATGCCCGTGCATGTAGCCTACTTGCGAGCATACGAACAGGGGTGTGTAATTAGTCTGGGTGGGGTGATCCTCAGAGATACTTGTGAGTTTCTGAGGGAGAAAAATAGGACGGGAAAATCAAGACTTGCATAACAGGGTGCGGATCCGTATTCGAGATGGGTGGCACTCGCGCACATCACACACAAGTACACACATGAACAAAGCCAAGTTGACATAATACAGTATAAAATAAACTGATGGATTTAGTCACTTAAAGCAGTAGCAGCCAGTTGACAGTTTAAGCTTAAAAAAATGCCCTGACAAAGATAAGAATGCACATTTTTGATCGACTGACACTGTCGGAGAGGTGCTGAACTTTGAAGCCACCAACACAATTTGTTCTGAGACACTGGAAGATCTCAAATTTGTTTCAATCAGAGATCATTTTAGCTACCCATACCTGATTTAGAATTTGAGTATGGTCCCCTCGGAAGAAGAAATGTCGTTCTCTTAAAACCTCAATCAACAGATCGATAAGATGCAGATAATTTTTTCAGTAACATTTTAACATTTCTGACAGTCATACTAGTGTATAAATAAGTTAACTACGGTTGGAACGATAACATGAAATAACATCTTAACTTTAATGACAACTGACATTAAGTGTGAGAAGAAAAAAAGTGCACCAAATGGATCGTTTGATACTGGCTAAAATGAGGTCTCCTAAGGTGTGCTGATTGCTGGCATGGTACCTCATGCATTGAAAACCCCCTGTAGAAGCTGTTCTTTCTTTTGAAAAAGCCAAATTTACCTTGGTTGCTGGCTGAACGGAAGTGAGGTACAATCATAGCTGGCGTGCATGACCCTGATTCGAACTCTGAAGTTTAAGGCAAAACAGCGAAACAAAACAAAAAAGAACAGCACACAGAATAATTTCCTTTGATGCTGTCTGAAATGAGGTCTAGTGAGGTGCGCTGACAGAACGGGTTATTGACGCCGCGCATTTATGATCCCTTGTTGAGGGTGCTTTTCTTTTAAAAGACACTTCCAAACTTCTGTCCCATTTTTAATGTGCTTTTTTTCTAATTTCAGTGGCCATCAATTGTAACCTACATTGAGTTTTGCGATTCGCTGGCTGGGCCGGTACCTTTCCCCAGCAATTGGTGGTGGTCTACTGGACACGCTCATATCATGAAATAATATCACACATACAGCACATGTTAAAGTGATGAAGCCACATATCCGTCTGCATTATTTATGTAATCGGATATATGATTTACGAACTTTTTTTTACGCCACACTGGTAGGGGGGGTACGAAGTAGTGGTCGTAAAGAATGCTTAAAAGACTGCAATTTACAAGGTGAACTTCTCCAATTGAACTTGATTAATAAACTGTCTTTCATATTCATTCAAGGTTCATCTGCCTCTATTTTAGCATAACATAAAACGAAAATATTTCTTTTTCATCGATCGGATACTTATTCATTCATTCATTTTCCGACCCGCCTATCCTCACAAGGGTCGTGGAGGGTGCTGGAGCCTATCCCTGCTGTCTTCGGTCAGTAGGCGGGGGACACCCTGAACCGGTTGCCAGCTAATCGCAGGGCACACAGAGACGAACAACCATCCGCGCTCACACTCACACCTGGGGACAATTTTGAGTGTTCAACCAGCCTGCCATGCATGTTTTTGGAACGTGGTAAGAAACCGGAGTACCCGGAGAAAACCCACGCAGGCCCGGGGAGAATATGCAAACTCCACACAGGGAGGCCGCAGCTGGAATTGAACCCCGTACCTCTGCACTGCGAGGTCAACGCGCTAACCACTGGACCACCAGGCCGCCCGATCTGTTATTGTTTAGTTTAATAGAGATTATATTATTGTGAATGGGAAGAGTAAAAAAAGTGCTTATTAAATCGCATTTGCAATATTGAGGTGAAAAAAAATCACAGATTATTGTTGAGATTCATTCAATTGTATGAAAAACCAGTAACTTCCAAAAATGTTGGATGGCTGGAACGGATGATTGGCATTTCAATTCATTTCAATGGGGGCAATGTATTTCCTATGTGAGCAAATTGAGTTACGAGCTTGGAACGAATGAAACACTTTATTGAAGGTACCATCGCTTTTCTCCAAAGGCGGAATTTTTGCTGTTGTACCTAATAAAGGCTCTCATAAATGTAGCACACCATGCATTAACTATGCGAGGGAATAAATAAGTATTCACCCGAAAGCATCTCCACCTATTTGACTCACTCTAAAGCCGATGACAGCAACACAACAGGGTGCAGTGATGCAAGTCGAATGAAAAGCTTTCAACATTGATACAAAAACACTTTGCCCACACCCACATCCACACGCCCACAAGTGCGCGCACACACATACACACGCACAGGTCGGCCATCCTCTTTAAGAGAGGGCGGATACACTTCCTTTTCACTGCTGCCTCCCTGTCTCCGGCAGCAGGTTGCCATGGAAACAGGGCATGACTGGAAACAACAGGAGCGAGAGAAAGAAAGGAAAGAAATGTGGTGATCTGCCCACCTCTCTCGCACTCCTCCTTTGTGTCCCTCGCTCAAAATACCCCCCCTCCCCTCCCACCCGCCCTCAACCCGCCCCCAACACCTACCCGAGCTCCCCCCTTCAGATTGTAGAAGTAGAAAGCTTTAAAAGCAGTCACTACTGCTTTATTTGCTGCTCTTATTATGGGCTGTAATGGCTTCAGTGCCATCCAAGAGGACCCTTGATAGCTTTGAAATTCATATAAGGGAGTTTCAATGGATGCCATGTTTTCTATTGACTGGATGTCTTTGTACTTTTGTTTCTTTCTGAATTACTTAAAATCAATATTTAATCACTATACTGATTAGAAGGTTGTTCATCCTGAATGTGATGTGCTGCAGCCTGGGAAAACTAAAGATGACAATTGACATGAAATCTCCCCCCGAAAAAAAAATGCCATAAGAAATCATGGAAATCCAAGCAAACCTTTAGGAGACAGAAATATTCACAAAAATATAGATTTTATAGAGAATAGCTATAAGTCCTACCTAAGTTGAAGGGAATGTATATGTGAAATGGGAATTAAAACTTTCCACGGGCCTCTGGTGCCATTGCATTGAACAGTCACATTCAACAACTCAAGTCAACAATTTTTGAAATGCTTCCAATGAGTGTACAGGGAGACGCTGCCTCAAGAAAGCCGTCAAGTTGTGCATGCGGTTGGGATACTTAGTGTGGGGCTCGATTCCGGTCACTATGTGGCCGAGTCACAGGGGCAGGTGGATAAGTCTGGTGAGGAGCTTTACCAAAACCGAGTAGACAAAAGTGGGGTTCCATTAAGCAATTAAAATAAAAAAGCCTGACAAGCACTGTCACTCACTGCTGAAATTTATCCAGCCGTTCAAGTTATTTTACTTGGAAACAATTCTGGTTCTATGGTTATCATCGTATTTGATTCACAGGAGCCGCTTTGTGTGATGTGAAGCAGCCTGAGTAAAATGTGTAAAAAGTTCGTTTTTGACATGCTAACTGAAGCTCTTTTTAACAAGACAAACAAAAAAACAAAAAAAGCTAAATTAGTCAGTTAAAATTCCAGTCGTGAATATGAGTTAGTCTCCATCATAGTCCTTTTCAACAAATGTTTTAAACTTCACCTTAAAAAAACGGTAATTGTATTGCACTGCTATTGTGTCACACATTCCCTGCAGGGAATACGCTATGTTCACAGATTTTTCTTTTTTGTGGGGTTTAAATTGCAAATGTCAAGACATAAGAAGGAGGTGGATACCGATGAAGATGTACAAGGTGGTGTGTCTTCCAAAATCAGAATAGTTGGTCTTGTCAGAGGTCAGTGCTCAGTTTAGATGTAGCCTCGCACACAATGGCCTTGGCCTTCATGCCAAATCAATGTTTCGTGGTGGATGTGCATGCGGCGCTGAATTTCAGATTATCTTTAGGAACAGACAATTTACAGTTATGAAAGACACTGGCATTGAAATGATTCGATATTCATGCAAGTGCAGGGAAGCATGCGTATGGACCAAAATGTTCAAATGAAACAAGATAACGGTCAGTTTTGACGAACACTGTCATGGAGGTAGTAAATTCGCAACACACACTGTGGTGTTGAAGCTGTAAGAGGCTAATAGAATATTCGAAAAGGCTTTTGTTGAACAAATATTGTATGTCTTTCCAGTACAAAACAAAGATGATCTTTGTTGTTTCTGCACCACCGTCATGGTCTCGTCTCATCCTCACAGCACACGCGGAACACAACGGCCTGTCGCCGCGTCACATCAAGAGTGACAGCGATGACGACGACCTGCCAAACGTGACGTTGGACAGCGTCAATGAGACCGGCTCCACTGCACTGTCTATAGCCCGCGCTGTACAAGAGTGAGTATTAGTCTCTTTTAGATATATTCATATTTACATATGCCATTCTTTCCATTCTTGTGTATGTGTTCGGTTGGGTGGTTTTATGTGGAAGATATTTATTTTTCGGCGTTCATATAATGTCTGGACTTTCGGTGCGAATGAATGGCCAGTCCCTTGACGGTGCAGGTTCTGTCGAAGTTTAACTTGACCAGAAATAATAAATAGATTATTTAATTTAAAAAAAAAAAGGATTACATGAGTACAAAAAACAAAAAAAAAAAAACAGTAAAACAGTTTAAAACACAATTCGTTCAAATTACTTTACATAGACATTTTTAAAAGTAATTACTGGTACACGGATCAAGAGATTTTTTTTTATTTTTTTTTATCAGAAATGGCTTCATGTGTCCCTAAACATATTTTTGATGTGGATTTCAAAAGTGTCTTGACTTTTTTTCAAGCACGGCAGGTTTTGGAGATATTTTGTTTTGTTTATAAATTAGACCTATAAAAGCTTGCGCGATGGATTTTACCATGCCTTGTAATTTATTCCTGGCTTTTCAGAAAAAAAATCCCACTTGTTGCTGAACTGAAATCTCTATTCATAAATATTACAAAATAAGATTACCATATTACATGTTTTATTATTATTATTATTATTATTATTATTATTATTATTAAACTCGTTTAATGGTCATTGAATCAGTGCAAAATAATCATCTATAAAATGTACTTGCATCTCTGATTAAAACGTTTCATAAATAATTGTTCAGTATAATTATTGGTTCCCAAGTGCATCATCCACTAAAGACTCTCCCAAATAGACCCCCCCCCCATTTCTCCCATCAGTCAAAAAACACGTAGAAAGCGTAATGATCACACTTAATAGTGCTGTTCACACATAGACATGAGTTTAGCTAATTTAAATGCTTGCTGATAACCAAAACAGTAGTGCCAACCAAGTAAACAGGTCTCCCAGATTAATTAAAGTGTTGAGCTTTATCTCAGGTTGTCAACATGTTTCCTGAGCAGTATCAATGCTCAATTAGCATTCCAGTAAACTCTGACATGCTTGTTGCCTCGCCCACTGGAACATATACTGCCACACTTTAAATCAATGCATCATTTTTTTAAAGCAATCAAAAATCTAAGCCACTCGTAGGGACCGTAATTGCCTTGACTGTGACTGATACCTCTCTATGTCACGGTAGACAGCTTGAACAACACAACCTGCAGAGTAGACGTCGCATCTGTGAGGCTGACTACAGATAAACTACTGCCGGTATTAAGTAATATCACTTTACATATGCCATCGCGCACATACAGACATTAAAGAAAAACCAAATGAGTCCATTTCAACTTTGTTTCAAACTAAAACAGTGGCACGTGCATCGCTTTTCAGATGAGTTCAAGTCTGGACTCATACCTCATGCTGTAAACAAGTTTACGGTGCCATATTAAAGCCTGCAATCAGCTCACCAGTGGGATCTGATATCTATTTTTGATGTAGTGCTCTTGAATTGTAATAGTAGTTAATGCTGTGGCTTGGTGACTGTTTCAAAAGGTCTTTGAACTTAAGTTACAATGTCAAGATCAAGGACAGGTTGACTTCCATAAATGTAGAAAATATCTTGAAAAGAGTACAGAGGTGGTTGTTGACATAAAAGACCTTGTCAATCTCCCTGGAAGTGCTTTTCCATCCTGGGCTTGGATGTAATGTGTTGCTGTGCAACTACATATACGGTCTCGCATGGCAGGCATACTTTACGGCCTCCGGGCATCGCGAGCTTCAGCGGTGCCAGCCCATCTGTGTTGAATGAAAAGACTCGCCTCTTGAGCGGATGACAGCGACGACGTTTTCCTGATGGCGAGCAGGAAGTCGGGACCCCGCCCCCCTCCTTTACCGCGAGACGTCGAGCCAGAACGGATGGTTATTTAGTGTAACTGCGAGGAAAGTGTCCCCAGGCTGTGCTAATCTTTCTCATGTGGGAACATGATGCTACCAAATAACTTCTGGACTCGGGAATTGCACAGTAACTGCCCATTGATCGTTGATACAATTTCAACTCGGACAACTCATTGCAACTTAAGCCGGTATCATCACACTGAAATGGTGTGTGCACACGTAGTGAATGTTTTTTTTTTTCTTTTGACAAAATGCATTCAATTTTGCAAACAGTTTTTCTTGTCGCCATCAAAGAAAATGTTCAAAATTTTGCAAATGGTGGCAAAGACGTTTACCGACAATTTGAATGGTCAAGACATTTTGAACCTGATCATTTGGACTCACCCTGACTCACCCATTTTTAATATACTTATGTTTATGTTTTATATTTTATATTTGTATTTATTTATATACAGTACTTTTTGTCTTCCACTTTCTCCCTTTCATAATTTTGCTGCTGTAAATTGGGAATTTCTCCATTGTGAGACAAATGTTTTCTTATCTTATCTTATCAAACTTGGATGAAATTTTGAACATGTTCAAACTTTGATGGCGACAAGAAAAACTAACAATGCAAATTGTCAGCAAATGTCTTTGCGACCATTTGCAACCTTGAACGAACTCTGACAAAAAAAAACAAAAACAACAACAAAACCCTTTGCTACATACGCACACCTGTGCAAACCGCAGCGAACCATTATTTTGATTTCATTTGGATTGATTGTCCAACGGAATTGTCAGTCCCACCGTTTAGATTACTTGATTTGATGACTGTGTGAAAACGCTCACAGTTGCAAAATTATCCTGCTGAGCTGGGTTCTGTGTCAAAGAAAAAGGCATTTTAATGCCATATCACGCCAGTGGCGTCTATTTGCAGGGTCACTGTGCGAAAGAGGTTTTCTTTTTTGAGAAAAACAAGCTATGTAGTGCTCCTGTGCAACACATTCAGATAGAATTGCAATGTTTGAAGATGCGCACGCACACGCGCACACACACACACACACACACACACACACACACACACACACACACACACACACACACACACACAACTCACACACACAGACACACGTGGCACTGGGTAATTCAGAGGAGAACAGAGTTTGGCAGGCCCCAACCTTTCCCTGCCCGAGCGTCCAGGCAGGCTGTGCCCCCTTACTCTCTCTCTCCCATCAGTAGACCTCAGGTGTCCCTGTGCCTCTGCTGTACATCAATACATGTTCCTGCGCCGTGCACAGCCACTTCCACAAGGAGGTCAACTCATTGTCCACACAGGGACCACACTAGACTTGAGTGTATGTGTGATGTGTGTGTGTGTGTGTGTGTGGGGGGGGGGGGGGCACATCCGTCTCGAGTTACACTCATATGCAGAGGCTGACACGACGCGTGTGCTCGTGTTAATGTACGGAGAGCTCCATTGTTAGTCTAAAAGGAAGGATGCATTTCATTCTGCGTTTGCTTTCACATATGCATCATGCAGAGCATCACAAAGGTGAGGTGTAAGGGCACAATTTTCATTCCAGGTATCCATATATTAATATGATTGAAATGAGAGAGGAGAGTGACAATGTGTGTGCATGCGAGTGTGTGTGGAGTAGGTTTCTTCAGGAAGCTCCTCCATATTCATGCGTTTTCCAGGGGAACAGTGGTTGGCTATTGTTGGAGGGCAGCATTTGAAGTGAACGGTGAGGCTGGAAGGAGTGTGTGCGTTTAAGACAGACTTCCTCAAGCTGGCAGTTGCAAAGACCACCAAAAGTCCTTATGACGTGCATCATTCATTTGTGACATAGGGGGCCCAGTGGATGACTGTTTAGTGCGTCGGTCTCACAGTGCAGAGGTGCAGGGTTCGATTCCGGCTCTGGGCTTCCATTGTGGAGTTTGCATGTTCTCTTCATGCCTGCATGTTTTTTCTCCGGGTCCTCCGGTTTCCTCCCACATTTCAAAAACATGCACGGCAGGTTAATGGAACAATCGAAATTGTCCCTAGGTTTGAGTGTGAGCATCGATGTGTGCCCTGTGATTGACTGGTAACAAGTTCCGGGTGTACCTTACCTACTGCCTGAAGACGGCTGGAATAGGCTCCAGAATGCACCGCAACGCTTTTGAGGATAAGTGCATCAGAAAATGGATGGATGGATCAATGGTCCTATAGCTGACATTGGGTGAGGAGGAGGGTATACCCAGGCCACATAGACATCTATTCATGCACACATTCACACCGATATCGACAATTTAGAGTCTTCAATGACTCGCTTTCATGAGTCAATGGTGAACGACGGTGCAGTCTTGCAGATGTAACGGCTAATCAAAACAAAAAAAATATATATATACTGTATATAAACACACACACACACACACACACACACACACACACGCACACACCTCCCAGCGCAAACTCTTTCAGCTCAAACGACACAAGCCAAGGCTAAGATTAGCTTTTGGGCTCACTTATATTTTATGGCAGTGCAGAACAACTCCGGAGTGAATGAGGATGTGTTTACTGTCATGTCTTATTTCACAGATCCACTCAGTGACATCATTGATGGAACGCACAAATTATGGCATGATTTCGACTTTGCATACATTTTAGCAAACGATCGACCAATTTCGATCTACTCGATCAGCGTCAAATATGCATGGTATAATATAATCAAAGACAGGCTGTGGCTTATAAAACAAGTTTCTATTTCCTCCTTTAGCTCTAACATTGTACACCCTGACACTCTGTTTTCTCTCTCTTTGACTGATAATGTAGTTACGTAAAGGCCGATTGGTGTGCAAATGTTGAGCCGGAGTCTAGACGATTTCCGTCAATATTAAGGGACTTAATGAATGCAAGGCATGTCGTGCTTCTGGGTATACTGTCCTCTAAGTCGACACATCACTTTGGCCTGTTACTCAAGACCTAGCGGAGCCACAGCTTGCGCAATGTGTAGGTGGCAGGAGTGCAGCCGTGCTTGGAGTCATATCCTCTGACAGGTACCACAATGGCCGACGGGAGGCCACCCAGGGCACACTTTCTCACGTCCTTTCCTGTTTTCTCTGCAAAGCCGCAATTAGACGCAGCGTGAGAACCTCATCCGTTAGCATGACCCGCTTTCCTTTTCGCCAAGCACACACATGCTATTGTGTTTAATAAAGCAGGATCCAGAGCTCCCCTTTCGGGTGACACACGTCTACACACACACATTCTGATCAACTTCTGTTCTGGAGAAAACGCAGAGAGGAACTTGAACAGAGGTCAGCAGTGTTTAAAATGCTTCAAAGTGCTACTTCCTTTTTTTCCTAGACACACAAATAAACAGAGGTTTGGACGCAGTGTGGCTGGGCTGGCTTTGACTTGACGCTCACATGAGAAAAGTCCCAATTGATGATCACACTGCAGCTATGTTACGATAAGATCAAAGTTTTCACATATGCAAAGGAACGGCTTAATGAGCTCATAGCTCACTTTGTAGTTCTAAAAGGCTGAATTACCTCCACATAGTTTTTTTATGGAGACTATTTGTTTTGATTTTACTCGCCCCCCCCCCCCTTTCTGCAGTGGCTCTTCATAAAGACCTGCGATGTTAATTGTACACAAATCACGTTAACCATTAAAACTTTTAACACGTGCAACATTTGTTGCCTGAAGTCTGTCTCAATCTATTAAAGGAGAGTTGCGATGGTAAAAATCCAACATCTGCCCATATTGACCTGATGAATGTACACTGGAAAAATATGGTGTGTATCAAATGATAGACTCTACTTAAAAAATAAAATCGAAATCCAGATGATTCTATTTTCAGTGGGAGGCTTTACTAATCACAAATAGTTCAATTTTACAGTAATTCCCTTTTTTATTTAAACTATCCCACATTAGTGGTCATGGAACCATGGAAAAATTGTGTATTATCATAAAGAAAATAGCCAGTGCTTTTTCAAAAAAGAAAAATGATGAGAATCAATGTCTAATTATTCTCGTTGGGGCAAGTGATTTCACAAATGAAATTAAATATGAACTTGAATATTTTTTTCTTTCACTGGATTTGTTCCAATTGGAAATCAAACATAAAATACATTCAAAAACCAAAATATTCAAACCAATTTATCTGTGCAAATTTTTCTTATATTTAATTAACAGTTGTAATATTTTTTTCATTTTATATCTTCATATTTTTACTTTTTAATGTCATCCCCACAACACCAAGTACAGTACTTTTAGTGACTCAACTTTTTTTGTGTTCACCTATGTCAGACTATTTTGAGTAACTTGTTGATCTTCTGTTGTTGTCATAAAACTAAACATGAAAACATTTTACTCATCATCAGGTTGGATTTTTTTTTATTGAATATCAATGACAATACATTACTAACACTTAAACACCAATATTTGCAAAACACTAAAAATGTCAAAATCAAACACCCAAAATCGTCAAGTTGAATATACTGTGTCGCTGAAAGTAAAAAGAGAGTTCATGAGAATTTCCTTTTCAGCTTCAATTTGGCAATAGGCCAAGAGCAACAGGTGTCTGACGCATTATCTTCTGCTTGTCTGTGTGTACCTTATTTTCGGGAGAATTTGAAAAAAAAAATGGTAAAAGATGCAAAGGGAAACAGGAAGTGGTGTTGCTGCGGTGGCGACAGTCCCTTGTGTGAACTGTCTGGCACTCGAACCCAGCCCTTGATCTTCCTCTCTCATGCTTCTTCATTTGCCCATCTTGAATGCACATTGAAATGCAATCCATACAACGGCGTATTTAGTCAGTTGGTGGCACACGGCAAACACGTTCATGGGGGGCCTCCACATCTGATTATTAATGTTTCTGACCAACTCAACCATATGAATTTGAAACAGTTCATTTCCTGAGGTAAAGTCCTTAAAATCGTTTTTAATGTAAATGATCAAACAAGTCAATCGTCTCAACACATTAACTGTAACTGATCAGCACAATAGTTTAATCAATAACAATAACATTTAATCAAGTTTGCCATTTCAACCACTTTAATCATCATAAAGAAAAGTGTCACTCGTGTCACTCTGCACTTGATTTCTGCTGCGTCCTCTGATGACACTGACAGCAGAGGGTCTAGTTTTCATGTCAATGGGAAACAGGTTGAAACTTTGGTAGTTTTGATCAAAAACAGTTTCCTCTCGCCTTCTCCACTCCACTGCGATAACGTCTTTTTCCACACAATGTGCCTGCAAGGTGCTGTAGTTCTAATTCTTACCTAAATCAAGTCTGATCATGCCCAGTGTGAAGATGGAATCGTCCACTGCACGAGAGAGCAGGAGGCCACGATATAAACGATCACAATAGGTTAAGCAATTCTATGGGTTGTTTTTTTTTTTTGAACATGTGAATTAAGACTAAAACAATAATTATTTAAAGAAAATATTTTCCACCATTTTTATGAGTCGTTTTGGGCCCTTAGACTGGAATACACATTTCCATAGTCCTAATAGGACTTTAATCTCGCTGTGATAAACTGACAAAAGACATCATCAAAGTGATACTGACCACTTACGGGTGTGGTAATGCCCCAATAACGGACAATGGAAATAAATCTGTCGTCGTTAATCTCAGTGGACTCGATGGAGATATAGAACACGTTGATAGGATTTGGAGGTAGTCAACATCTTTTATTATAATGCACGCTAACACTGCCACCTGCTGGTGAAATGGCACATTGAACCACAGACATGCACGTTCAATGTTTTGCATCTATCTATCTATCTATCTATCTATCTATCTATCTATCTATCTATCTATCTATCTTTCAAAAAGCTTTATCTTCACAAGGGTCGCGGGGGGTGCTGCAGCCTCCCCAAGTTGTCCTTGGGAAGTTGGTGGGGGACACCCTGAACCGGTTGCCAGCCAATCGCAGTCTGTCTGTCTGTCTGTCTATCTATCTGTTGAAAATTTGGGTACATGTTTTATGGGTAAATAGTATATCCATTAATTATCCGTGCTGCTTATCTTCATGAGGGTTGCCTGCCTATGGGAGTCTATCCCAGCTGTCTTCAGGTTAGGCGCAGTACCACACCCTGCACTGATCGCCCACCAATTGCAGGTGTTTATAGTATAATTGCTGAATATTTGATCCGACAACACTATTTACTGTCCCTATTATATGTAACCCATCGAAAAGTGCACGATTATTTTTGTCAAGCTGTTTAAATGGCTCGAACTCCTTTTAAACGACTGTCACACAGGCCAAAAATGTCACCGCCTTTGACGCTTCTTTTGTGTGTTTCAGTTCCATGTCGCCGTTCAGTATTGACAGTATACGGCGCCCTCGGAGGTCGGAGTCGCCCGATTCCAAAAAGCGGAGAATCCACCGATGCGATTTTGAGGGCTGCAATAAGGTTTACACCAAAAGCTCCCATTTAAAAGCACATCGGCGGACGCATACAGGTCAGTTGAAAAGAACGTGTTTGCCGTTTTGTTTGCTATGTTATGTGCTTGCCCAAAAACAGTTTTTAAGAAGATCATCATTGTCGTATTTAACATTATTTGGGCTGGTCTAACTTTGGAATGACACAATGAGCAAACAATACTGGACTGTTGCAAAATGTATCTCTAAGTCCAAGCAGGGAAGTTGACTGTTAACGTTAACAAGTAGTGCCTCTTGCCCCTAGCTGCAAAGTAATAAATAACGTAGTTGTAGATTAGGCCAATTTTGAAATGTCCAGAGAATGAAGTTTGGTTGCTAACATAAGCCGATAGCAAGCTCCACAGCTGCTCCACAGCACTATAAACTAGTAGCATTTTTTTTTGTTTGTAAAATATTTCAAATAATTTAGAAAATTGCCAAAATCTTAATTTTCACCCTTTGTCTGCTGTCTTGCGCACTTATTGTCTTGTCAATGCAAGGTGAGGTCAACCACTAATCTTAACTATTCGCGCTTGCCTCTCGCGAGCTATCTGCCACGTGGCTAGGTGCTAGGCAGCATTAGCTATCATGCTTTTTAGTGTTTATAATCTGCATTGGTGGCTTTCTTTTTACAATAAGTTTATTTTTTTAGGCTTTTATTCATACGACAGCAATGCATGATCATTTCACACTTGTAGAACAATTACGAATGTTAACGTTTTACTTGTACTTCAAACATCACCTGTAGGTTAGTATTTAGCTCAATAAGACAAAGGAAGCTACTGATATTTAGGAAAAAAAAAACATTTGGGCTCAGTTCTTGCGTGTAATCACATTAGATGGGTGGCGGTTCATTGTTTGAAAGCCACCGACTGGACACACTCGTAAAATTGCCACTTCTGTATTAAAAAAACAAACCAATTTGAATTTACCATTTTATTCTTCAGCGATATACGGACTCCTTTTTTAAATCCATACGTTTGAATAAAATGTTTACATTCAATTGAAAAAAAAAAGCTTTCTTTATCCAATTACACGGTCTGAGTGTGAAGCCGTGTATTTCGGTAGCGCAGCACACAACAACCACGTTGAGAAAACATTTTAGTAAATCAATTAATATCTGACAGTTTATAAAAATGGGAGTATTATAATGACCATCTTACAAAGTTGGATGCAGCTATTGTAAGGAGACACTAGAAATTGCTACATTTGTTTTTTTCAGAGCAGGTTTTTTGTGTGTTCCCGTTAGGAGAAAAGCCTTACAAATGCACCTGGGACGGCTGCACGTGGAAGTTCGCCCGCTCGGATGAGCTGACCCGCCACTACCGGAAGCACACGGGCGTCAAACCCTTCAAGTGCGCGGACTGCGATCGCAGCTTCTCCCGTTCGGACCACTTAGCCTTGCACCGGCGTCGGCACATGCTGGTGTGAGACAAGTGAGAAATTATCAGCCGGGAAGGAAGGAAGGAACCACCACACGTTGGGGAGCAGGATCTCCCTGGGAAATGTTCTTCAGCTGGCCTGGACACACGGGAGGAACATGACGGCGAAGAAGAAAGAAAACAGGGTCAAATGGGGATCCACTTGGAAGGAGCAGACAGTCAGGAGCTTTTATTGTCTTTTACAGCACTGTTTGGAAGTTTTTAACACAGACTCTTTAATCGGACGGGGGGAGAAGATGCAATTTTTGGAATTTTTTTTTTTTTTTGTCTTCATAATGTGAAAGACCCCAGAGTGTGGATTTCCCCCCCCCCCCTTTTTTTCTTTTCTTTTCATGATGCGGGCTTTCTGGAAGCAGAACCAGATTGGCAGCAGAGGGTGCCACTTGATCACAGATGATTTCCTCTGGCCTTTGCGAGAACCACCACAAACTCATTGACGCAATATCTATTTTTATGGGTGGGCCACTCTCAAATATCTATTTAACAGCCGCACCCCCCAACCCCCTCAAAAAAAAAAAATCTGGAGCCTCTTTGTTGGATTTTTGAGCTGTGATGAAGCAATCAGATCAAGTGCAATCTTAAGGATTACAACAATACACACACACACATACACTTACACACACACACACACACACACACAAAACACTTTTTCTTAAAATAACCTTTTTCCGATATCAGGGGCCACTTTAGACCTCCAAGGGCCATACTAAATTTGTGAAAAAATACGAAAACATTGGCCAAATTATTATTATTATTATTATTATTATTGTTATTATTATTATTATTACTCTTACTCCTAATAATAAAAATAATAATATGGATGATGCGCCTTTGTGGATAAAAATTTTTGGGGGGCCTTTTTTTCTCGAGGCTTCATTGCTGGCTTTATACACTTCAGCAAAATCCTGTACAGAGAACTTGGCAACAATCACGATAAGGACTCTGCTTTCCTTACTTCTTCTCTCAGCTGGTTTTGTAATTTGTGGATTTTATTTTATTTTTTTGCACAGCAGCACTTGACTTTAAAATGGCTGAAGTGTTACAAAGATGGCGGCAAATGCACACACATACAGAAGAGCAATACATTGTTGGGTGATTGATGTCAAATTTTATTTTTGCTCCCATCTGTGTACAAAATTTAGCTGCCTTGAATGTCATCAACTACAAAATACTTCGTCTGGATTATAATGGGAACTCCACTTAATTAACATTTTGTTACAACATTGGTCATTTGCATCCAGGATGTGGACAAAAGCATTGGGACGATATTACATAAAACCCCTGAGTGATGAACACAGTGGAATATCGAAATTCTCCACACTGCAAAAAATGGAAATAGAATCAGTCTGTCTCAGGGTCAAACTGTCACCCTCACAAAGCCCTCCTTCTCAAAAGTGGTGGGCCATGCATTTTGTAACTGGGCCTTGAGTTCAGATTTTGCCGACTTAATTCTCGTACTAAGAACCCCATTATTACGTCGCAATTATAGTCACCATCATTCCTGCACAAAAATGCAATGTTTTCAATAAATGTCATCGGGAACAGTTCAGAATCTTTTTTTTTTTTTTTTTTTTTAACATAAAATACACAGGGTCGTCAAACAGGTTAGCACATTTGCCTCATGGTTCAGAGGTCCAGGGTTCAATTCCAATTTCACTGGCCAAATAAAATGACGTGGCGGGCCAGATTTGGCCCCTGGGCTTTGAGTTTGACACCAGTGCTCTAAATTGCCCCTTGGTGTAATCGTGAGCAGGTCGATATGTACCCTGCGATTGGCTGCCAACCAGTTCAGTGTGTAACCTGCCGACTACCCAAAGACGGCTGGGATAGGCTCCAAGCATGCCCGCGACCCTCGTGAGGATAAGTGGCTCGGATAACGGATGAATGGATGGATGGATAAAATACTCACCAAAACGCTGGTTATTAAATGTATTAATTTGCACAGATTGCTATGGATGTGTTTTGCTATTTGTAGCTGGAACAAGTTTTGCTTGAAAGTCAATTTACGCCTTCCACCTCCTCAGACCACATCTTCGTACGCGCACAGGGTAGACGACTGGTGTAGCACGATGCATTGCATTCATGAATATGTGAACAGCGGACTTCAAAGCATATGAATCATTGTCGTATGTATTTTTTAAATCATCCCAATGGGCACCACGGTTATGGATTGGTTGGTGGAAGAGGTGGTCTCCATGTCCTCACTTCATGGTATGGCTGTGTTTCAGCCACGTCGAGACGCTAATGTATGACTAGTGTGCCACATTTAAAGGAAATGAAAGGAGACGTTTTGATTGACTGTGGCTCCTCCCACAGCAGCACCGTTCTCCCTCTTGCAGATCCTCTCGTTTGCATACATCAGCGCCTAACCCGCCTCCGTGCACGACATGTCATTTATTATCACAAAAATACAGCACTGAAAAGTATATCCGTTTGGAGTTTTTGTTTGTTGTTTTTTTTTTTAATGCGCAATTATCATAAAAAAAAAAGTCTTGTAAAAGTGGTAAACTAAAACATTAAGTTTCAATGAATTAAAACCGTGAAAGATAAGATTTAAATTCAAACTTAGAATGTGCTCAGTAAAAATGTAAAACGTATCATTTATCAACGAATATTAAAATATGTGACATTTCTGGGCTTTCAGCGTTACACTTTTGTATAAATTATATTCACTTAACTTGGGACTGTTGGGTGTATGAGAAGTTATTCAAGAACCTGTTGAAAAACCAAAGAAAGAGCCAAATGTGCGCATTTAATGATTTCAGGCTCGCTCTCTGAAATTAGCTATAGTCACGTCTCGCAAGATTTTCTGAAATCTTGCAGAATGTCTCCTCGAATATTTTCTTCTAGTTTTTTTTTCTCTAGTTCTGTGACATTTCCTTCAACAATTTTCTTTTCCACTTTCCCAATTGTACGTTTTGGGCGTTCAAAATTTGCGTTTCCACTGTGTTTAATTAGATGACCCTCCCCAATTCTTTTGTCCATATTTAACAATAGGACATCAATATTTTTTCACAATATTTGAACTATATTCAGAATTTATTTTCTTTAAATGCAGAGATTTGCTTCTTCTGCCTACAGTATTAAAGCAGTCAATATTCTTCCATAGTGAAATACAGTTATTGGAGCCAAGCCAGTAAAAGGAGCCGGTGACCCTTACACACACACACACACACACACACACACACACACACACACACACACACACACACACACACACACACACACACACACACACACACACACACACACACACACACACACACACACATATAACGGCACCTTGGAAAAAAACTCGACGCCCATAACCACCCACCCTCATATACATATTAACCCCATGTGTAACATGTATGTGTTTGCTTTATTTATGTACTGTATATAATTTGTGCACATATCAATGTGTTATGTTAGTGACAGAATATCAGCACCTTGTTTGTTTATTATTAGTCGTATAATTTTTTTGTAAAATAATTTTTATGGAAGATGTCAATTTATAATCAAAAATAACCACCATTATCATATTTTATGATTCATATAATATATATATATAAAATATTTTATGATTGAGGGTCACTTCAACACGCTCATATTACTTTTCTTTCTGTACAAATAAAAAATTGTAATATATGTGATGACGTTTTTAAGATGCGCGTGTGTGTATATACCGTATAAATACAGTATACTGTATATGCGTTGGCTAAAGAGGGCTCTTTGATTCGAGGTGCAGGATTTATCCATAGGCCTTCTTTTTTTTTTTTTTTTCTTCAGAGAGTGCCATTCAAATTTATTTGTTGTACACAGTCAAACATGGGGCTAAATGCTGTTCATTTTCACTGGTTTGGATTAGCAGTTACACAAAACAATAAAATTTGGACATCACCTGATATTTTTATGTTTAACTGTTCCACGCTACTGTTGTTTGTTATTTCAGTGCAAAATGGACTTAAAATTTGGTTAGAAAGTACTGTCCAAGTGGTCCACGTACTTTCATTTTTTGGTTTCTCCAAAATAAGTAGATGATTCATATTTTTTGTTTCGTATTTTTACATTTCAACATGTTCCACGCAGTTATATTTCTTGAAGTTGTAATATCGCAAACATGAAGCTGATCCAATTAGTTTGTTTGTTTTCCATTTGGAACATTTTGCAATATGTTAGATTAGAAAAAAAAAGAAAGGGGGAAAAAAAGTCATATTTTTTAGCCGGTCACTGACAAAATTACTAAGATGCGCTTACCTCAATATTTTTTTTCCAACCTAATCAACATAATTTTGTTTCCTCATTAAATAATCTGAATTTAATGAGAAATCAGTTACTTTTGGTGTGTCCAATAATTTTATCAGCTTGTTGCTATTTGGTAATCGAGCAAAAAAAAAAAAGGCAAATTGTTTAAACATTATTTTACATTTCCATCCATTTATTTTCCAATCCGCTTATCCTCACGAGGGTCGCGGGGCGTGCTGGAGCCTATCCCAGCTGTCTCTGGGTAGTATTCGGGGTACACCCTGAACTGGCTACCAGCCAATCGCGGTTATTTTACATTTTGTGTTGAATATTTGTCTTTCACCTTGTTCCACACAATCACATTTTTAGCCTCTTCAAATAACTATTTGGGTGTATTTTGTTATTGTTATACATTAACATGCAACTACATTTTATTAGCTGGAAACAAAAACAAGTTTATTCAATTTGTTTGAATTAAAATATGCCCTCATATTCCAAACATAACCAATTCCAAGAAAGGTATGTCCCTAATAGTGAACAATTTCAAAATGTACCCTGAATCTATCCCTAAAGGCATACGCCTCAGAATTTGATGAACATTTTCTGGAAAAATAAAATGCCCCTTAAATAAAAAGTTGTACTCTTTCGAAAGTCAAACAGTTTCAAGATTGGACTCAAATGCTCCGGAAAAAAAGATTTTCCTTCTAAAATTGTGCGGTTCCAAATGCCTTCTAAATTTAGCACATTCCAGACAAGAGTGTGGTTTAAAAACTTATTTTTGAATGAGCCAAAAAAAAAAAAAAAAAAGTATATTATCAGATAAGGTTTCAAAAGTGATCTCTGAAGCAGCACAAAGACTCTGGCTGACATCCTTTATTTTTGTTAAATGCTGAGTCCATTTCACAATTTTATGCTTCACTGACTCATTGAAATTGTGCGTAGCGAGTTGATAAAAAATATTAAACACAAATAAAGTTAATACTGGGTAAACTATGATTTCGTTGAAATCATATCATGAAATTGTGTGGTTTACATCCAACTATGAGGTGAAGTCTCTGTATTAGATTGTTTTCAATCAAATCTTTCGTGGGGAGTGAAAAGTGTTCCTTCTCAATGAATTGTTTGTATACACATATCAACAAAATTCCCAAACATGATATGAATTTGTTTCATCTTAGCAGTGTCTTGGAAAAAAAAAAATAGCATCCTGATCCGACAGGGTGTTTTGTATTTTCTCTTCAACATCTTTTTTAAAGCATAATTTTGCAACGGTAACCAGGGTCAAAGTTATGCAATAATAACAAGATGAATAATAATGTAAATAAATAGTGCCTCATTCGACATTACTGCTCCGCGCAGCATTTTCATTTGACAAAATCGTTTGTACGTCACAAAGCAACAATTGAGGAGGGAAGAAAACAAAAAAAGCACAGACAACGATATGCAAGTCGGATCTCTCATGTTTTAATAACATGGCGATTGCATGTATTTGCCGCATCCACTCACCGACATCGCACACTGTTCATCACACATTTTCTTACAAACAAAAAAACAAACCTTTCTGACTCACAGGAATCAAGTTTGTGTTATCCCGCATAAAAAATAAAATAAAACAACACACACACACACACACATCAAGGAATTCTACTCTATGTTGATCGATGCTCTTTTTTAAAAAAAATAAATGAATCTATCAGTTCTATATCTACTTACTTTCAATGTACTTTTTGATTTTGAGATTTGAAAGAGTAGTGAAGCTGGCGGCTGTGTTTGAATTTGCAGATATTTCGTACGGTAAATGGTTGTTCTTGTATTTATGTAAAGTGAGTGTATTGTAAATAGCTTTCAATTTTCTTCTTTTCATTCTCGACGTAATGAAAAATGTGAGCTCGCTCAGCAAACCCTAAAAGGGAGATTTTGCTCACGGAATAACAACACAACTGTACATTTTAATTTTTTTTTTTTTTTTTTTGGAGGAGGGAGTCAAATTTTGAAAAAAAAAAAAAGGTGCCCATTTTTTTTTGTGTTGCTCTTGTTTCTTTCTCAGTTGTTCTAAGTAGCCTATCCAGTCTGTGCTTTGTCTTCTACTTCTTCTGTATGTCTTTTTTTCCTTATGGATGGAGCTGTGAAATTTAAATCAGTTTGAAACATATAAATGTATATTAATATGAATGGAGGCATGAAGGTTAATAAAATTGCATTTGATATGTAACGCTTGGGTTATATCTTGTTATTCTTTGGTTGAAAAATATTGGGATTATGGGGAACGTAAAGTATTTCCAAATTTTGATTGGCTTCAATTTATGAGGGAAAAAATGTGCCTCTGTTGTTGTACAATTCTGAAAGTCACCCATATTATTTTTTTAGGCTCTCACGTCAAATGTGAGATTTAGTCCAACGGTGGATGAGTCAGGGAGAGTTTGGCTTACCGGTACTCGTCTTCACTGTAGCTCAATTTATTTTGTTCCCAAAAAAATAACACTCACCCTCCACCAAAAAAAGGAAACTAAAGCTTAAAAACATGCACCTATCATCATTTATCTGAAAATGATTCATTCCTTATTACTCCTCCCCACCATCTTCGAGATGCAAATCGCAGACGTGTAACTTTCGTATATATTTCAATCAATGATTTAATCAACTATAATATTATAACAACATGAATTCACACTTATAAACCATTAAAAAAAATAATAAAAAACAAAGAATGCAAACTACCCTTATTCCTACTTTAACGTGGTACAACCCTGTGACCTTTGCTCTAAATGATTTTGATATGCTCTCTTCCTGGTTTGCCGGTTGGACCCGAAAACTTTACATTGACACATGTTGTGAGCCCATGGAGAAAATAACCAAATGTTCATCCTTTTGCCCGTAAAATAAATAGACAAATACATTTTGAAAAATCAAGTGGCAGGAATGGTTTTTGTCGAGAAAGGTAGGCGAACATCATCCCACTGGGAAAAGGGTTTATTTGGTGTTTATTCATTAATTTGAAAAAATAAATATACATAAAAGCCACTTTGAAAAGGAGCTTGAAGACACTAAAAACGTCTGGCAGATGTTCATGCCGCCAGGTCCTAAGTGGAGAACAAAAAAAAAAAAGGAGCACTTTGAAATTGCTTTTTGAAGACAAATCAAGGAAACGACACTTTCATCTCGTTTGGAGCGTGACTTAAAAAATACTTATGATGTTGGGATATGATTTGCTACCCCCCAAAAATGTGCCCAAAAAAATGGGCAAACATGTTCAAACGTACCGCAAAGTACGTTTCAATCTATCGATAAAATGCAGGAAATGGAAATATGACTAAAAAACGTTTACTTATTTTTTAAACTTTTTTGAAATGTGTATATTGTAGGCCAAAAGCTGAAAACAAAGTATTTTTTTGCTTGTGCATGCACAAAAAAAACACTGGCGTTTTTTTTTTTTAAAGAAAAAAAAACCAAAAATATTTACAGTATTTGTTTCATTAGATCATAAAAATGTCATTTCTTTGGGTACATATTAAATATTGCACTAATCTTGATATCGCATGTGTTTCCAATATCATGCAGCCCTAATAATCAATGCATACATACCTACATACATGGCCAATATGAACCCTTTTATGCACCCGTAACCTGATAACATGATAAGCTGTCCACTGTACTAACCGCCGTCCCTGAAAGGGTTCAAAGTTAGGGGACAGCTTTAAAAACAGAAATGTCTTAAACCACTCAGTTATAAACCAGCCGAGACGCCACGTCCAGGATGAAACAATAAATTGTTCAAATAGGGTATCACCGGGATTCGAACCTGATTGTGTCTAATTGAAACTGAAACCACACCTTTACGTAAGGGTTGAAGTTGACTGGATAGAGTTGAGAACATTTTCCTCAAGGTTGTTACTCTACTTTTTTTTTTTAACTCTGCCTGAATTACAGTTCATATTAAATCCCATGTACTGTATGTGTGAACTTGGAGGAGCACCCAAACTTGCCAAGGAGCCTGGTGAGCCGCCCAGCTGACTCCCTTCAGTCTAATGAGTGTCATTTGTCAGCTGCTTGCCACGTGTCCTTCCGCCAAATCTGGAAGACAAGGCCTCACAAACTACTTTTGTGAATATTCAGTTGGACAACCCTGTTTGGTTTTGCCTACGACCACCACCAAACATTCACACTCAGCCGTGCACAACTGTGAGTGACACTGGAGGCAAGGTGGGTGAAGTGCCTTGCCCATGGACACAAATTGACTGTGAGTATGTCATGTGATTTGCTTTGTGCCCATATTCATATGCAGTGTAACCGGCCGGGTTAATTCAATGATATGATTTTGGCATATATATATATATATATAATTTTGTGTGTGTGTGTGTGTGTGTGTGTGTGTGTGTGTGTGTGTGTGTGTGTAATGCCATATTTGAAGCCCTTTAAACTCATTTAATTTATGAATCATATTGTGTCCTGTTTCTGTTGTTAGATTTTGGACAGTCTACTCTAAGTTTGTTAATTCCAAGAATCAAACTACAAACATTGCATTTACTGTGTAGAGCCGTTTGTCAGCTTCTTGCAGGAACTTTGACACCCGCGTGGTGCTTTTGCCTAATTTCTTCTCATAGTCATGTCTCAGCAATAAAAAGCCGAGTACTAATCCAACCTTGCAGCACTCTTAAGATCACAGTGACAGCAGCTTTAAAGATCAGCTTAACACAATAGAGTTGACTTGTCAGGATTTTTGTTTTAGTTCCCACACAAGACATACAGTAGAAAGAATCGAGTAACCACTGCAAAGCTGACCTGACTGAACATGTCGTCGCAATGGAATGATAGCATAAAGCGGAACCTCCAACATACCCGTGACGCAAGTTGACTTCAAAAACAAAATTTTCTGATAGTAAATAACGTCAGTGGAATAAATTTGTTTCAGATTGATACTTTAGCAACGACGACTACGACTTTCACTTTTACGCGCAAATGCAGACAGACAACTGCTCACACTGTCAGTGAGTGGGTATTAAGCTCACCAGCAGCACAAAAGCCATGCAGCGATTTAAGTGCTTTTCAAGAAAAAAAAAAAAGGCAAGTTTGAAGAAGCCTCAAGACTTATCTTATGATCTGATATGATCCCACCAATTCAACATAATGATAAAATGTGCACTGTGAGGTATATGACAATTGACTGTGATTTTAAAATCAATTCATCAATAGTGTAATTAGTTAGTCTTTTTGATCCAAAAGGAAATACAAGTCCACTTTCTATTTTGCCCCTTTAGATTATGTTTGTCTGTCTGTCTATCTATCTATCTATCTATCTATCTATCTATCTATCTATCTATCTATCTATCTATCTATCTATCTATCTATCTATCTATCTATCTATATGTGTGTATAGATACATAGATAATATATTCATTGTTGTCCGCATTTTGACACATGCTACTACGTATTTGTAGAAATATTTGTTGATTTTTATCATTGTTGGTCTTTGTTGCTTGCAAATACAGTACTTAATTTGTTCATCATGAATATTTTCCTTTTCGGTAGGGTTTTGTTTTATTTTTGCATTGTTTTATTTATTTGTTGAGTTCTTTATGTTTATGTTTGGCTTTCCTTTTTTTTTACGGTCGCGCTGATTTATTATAAATATGCTTTCAAGTAATTTGTTGACCGCATTTGAAATATAGACAGCATTGTGTTGAGTTGCACTTCCCTAAGACTACCACCAGAGGGCAATGATCAGCTGCAGTTCACCTTTATCGCGATGTACCGTATATACAACTCTCATCTTTTCATTCAACTCCATTATCTAACTAACAAAGTCAATGAGTTCGATCTTTATCGTGGATATGCTTAGCTACATGGTGCTACTTCAAACAGCTAACGGTTTCCTGTTAGTATGTCGTTGCCTACAATGTTTTTGAACATTCACATCTTTAGGGTTCATTGTTCTGATCATTATTATTATTAAGCACACATTATTTTATATTAAATACATTATATTAAATATAACTTAAACACATGCCTTTCTACATGCTCAAGTGACCCTCTTTCATGTTGAGTTACAATTGAGTTAGTTTTTAAATGCTCCTACCCTTGAAAAGTACAATCAATATGTTTTCCCTAGTTTTATTTAATCAGTCATTTTGGCTTTGTTCCGAGCAGCATAGAGTATACTTATCCGACGTGACACTCTTTCATTAGGCATCATTTCCATAGCATACAACATTAGCCCTCTCCTGTTTGGGAAACAGCAGATGAGGCTTGGGTAGGCTCTCAGGGGAGAAATTCCCTATAATTCCTTAATTAAATGGAATAATTTAATTACAGTAACTTAGGCAGCATTCATCAATATAATTGTTTCAGGGGTGCAGCATTATAATTGAGCTTGAAATGAAAACAAGTCCATTTTGCATTTTCCTTGTGATCTTCCACCGTGTTGCTGTTTCTCTGCGGCATTTTTTCCCCCTTTGATGGGCGGCCATTCCGCAACATTTATTACAGCCATTTAATTTAAGCTCTCTACAGGCTCGGACAAGAAGACGAGAGATGATAGCGCCGCTCGCTGTTGGCTTTCTAATCTGATCCTCCCTGCTGGCCTTTCATAAAAACTCCAAACATGCCGCTGCCATCTCAAACTGTCTTGGATTTCACCACAATGGCGAGTCCAGTTCACAACCTCCCCCTCAACCCCAAATAATAATACATCATTTTGCTCTAATCTGCCTCAAGAATGTAGCCTGTTTGAAGTTGACAGTGCCCCATCTTGAGCACTGGAGTAATTGCCCTCACAGGTGTACCCTTGATGAACAAACCTGGCCATTGTTTAGCACGGAGAATGTTGGCCTGGAGAAATTTCTTCTACCGGACAAACTGATCTCTATTCCCGCACTGACATGCTCTTGTCAGTGGCCTTGTATGATTTGGTCTCACAGTTTATTGTAATCTGATTGTGACAAAGTTACTGAAAGTTTTATTTTGTTCCAGGTCTCCCCTTACAGGCATTGCATTAAGGCAGATGATCTTTAAAAAAAAGAGAAACAATAATTTAAAAAAATGCCCCTACAAATGAGAAGTAGAAATAATCCGTTTGAGGTTTTAAATGTGGTCATGCACCATAGAATCCTAAATTAACAAGATGGACATCTTAAGAGTTTTTAACATCTTAACTGTGAAGTGTAAAAAGTAGCTAACCACTGTAAAACAATTAAAAAATTAAAATAAAACATAACAGTCTACCTCAACTTTCTCAAATGACGTACAGCATTATACTTGACGAACATGCTTTTTACAGTGCACTTGGTTTCACATCTTTTTATAATTTGATTAGAACAGAGTTCCTGAAAGTTTTTGTTCCAGATCTCCCCCGAGGGGCATCTCAATGAGACAGGCGATTTATATTTGTACGCATGTACTGTATGTAGAAATAAAGAAATAATCCCCATTACAAACGTGAAATAGAAATAATCAGTTTCAAGGGTTTAACTGTGGCCATCATCAAATCCTAAACTAAGGATACAGTAAATTTTACATGTTTCTGTGTATTGAGCAGCTAACCAGTGTAAAACAAACAAACAAACAAACAAAAAGAATCTACCTCAACTTTTACAAATGATGCACATCATGATGCTTGACACGAGTCTTGAGATATACAGCACATTCAAGTGAGAGAATTACAGAGGAAACCTTCACACACCTTGTTCAGATTGTCAAACTGTCATAGCTATCGCCTTCACATCTCATGCCCTGTAACATCCTCAACACACAAGAGTAAAAAGAAGTTAAGCAATGCAAAACACACATTCTACAAATGTGTGACCTCAGAAGGATCACATTGTATCCAACTGGGCATTGTCCGATTGTACACCATAAATCAAAGTATTGTTCACTTTGAGCACAGTAAGCGCAAACCACAGAACCTATCTTTGGTGGAAACATTTTTGATGACATTGTCTCCATAAAGTATCCTTTGGTTTAATAAAAAGCCCGACAAATTTCTTATTGTTAGAATACATAAACTGTAAAGCACGCAACACACCTCTGAAGTGCAACTTTAGCGCCAATGCTAGCATCAAAGCTAGCATTAGAAATCGACTTTACATCGTTTATAAATGAATATTTTGAAAGCATTGTTGCTGACAAAGATAATTACAGTAAAAAATTTTATTCAACTGTCCAATAATAAAATAATTCAATAAATAATAATACAAACAATAATAATGCGATTTGATTTGTCTGTCTCAGTGCGGGCGCCATACCAAACGGGTCGCGGACCGGTGGATGTGGACCACTGATGTGGCGTGATCCATTGTTTCACCAGACTTTAGTCCTCTTGACTTCTCTTTCTGGTGTGTGCTAATGGACACGTGTACTCGATGCTAGAATTGACAGCAATGTGGAGTTTGAGAATTCACGTTAATCTTGCAACGCATGTCGACCTTTGTATCACAAAGTTTGGGAACCATATTGAACATTTATTTTTGTTAATATTCCACTTGAATAAAAATGTTTTTCCAGACTTTAGGAATCATGAGAAGTGTATATTTAAACTCCTACAACAGTTTGATTCGCTTTTTTGACGACATATTACGCACCTAAAATAGATAACGATATTTCCATAGTTGAAATACAAACAGGCATTGCTTAGGAACTTAAAAATATATAGACTAAAGATTTCCCGAATCTTATTCGCCCACCTTTTCCTCGATTTTTAACACCGCCCTGTTATTTGTACTGAAAAAAATCTGTCCGTCTGCTCAACAGCTGCTCGAGCTCTGGAGAATCATCGGGACGAATGAATTAGCGTCCTTGTTTGGATATTCTTTTCTATTTGGAATAATCAGAGTGCCATTCAGCGGCAGGATGGCCGCGCACAGATGCCCAAACACAGCTGACGGGAACTGAAACACAGTCAACGTGACCCATGACGGGAAGAATGGGAATAATGCAGGTGTGCATTTCTTTTCTCTACTGTGCACTTACGCATAATAAAGACGCTTCTTGCTCAAGGTGATCCTTGCTTTGCATACGGCTGATTAATCTTATGTACGGCAGCTAACATTGATCAGAGGAATGATTAGAAATGCATTAGTCAGCAAACTGTTTGGAGTGGTTGCCTTTAAGTGCTGCCGCCGAGCACGCTTTCCGTAGGTGTCTGTGCATTTTTTTTTTTTTTTAATTTTGTTAGATAGAATTTAGCAAATGGATGCACGTGGGCTGCCCAAATACAGCATCAAAGCTATAACGCTTATAGACATAATTTAATTTACGAGATGGCAGCTCGGACGGACTGTGTTGAGGCGGCGGAGCTGCTAAATTCATTAGGTAGAAAGTTGCTATATGTTTGCAAGCTGACGAAAGAAATAATGCAGCATTACGTATATGAGAAACCCTCGCAGTGTGTGAAAAAAGAAAAAAATTGTGATAGAATACTTTGTACCTTTTTGCTCAGGGGTGGGTAGCCTACAGCGCATGGGCCTTAAATGGCCCATAAGAACATTTGATGCAGTCCGACGTGCAATTCTAAAGACAAAGAAAGCTTTAAAAAAGAAAAAAATGCTCATCATCGACACTATAATTCCTTTCCCCAGAGGAGGGTTAAAATCCTGTTAAAGGAAAATGATTCCGAACTCCTATTGTCACGAAATAAGTTTTAAAAATGTAGTGGAAGGAAGGTTAGCGTACTCATGCTTGTATGACTTTTCTCCAGGTACTCCACCTTTAAAGAAGAGAATACATTGTTCTTACAATAAATGTGATTGTTTATTTTTCAATTGGCTTGGCTGGTGACCAGTTCATGGATCTCGCCCAAAGTCAGCTGAAATAGGCTGCAGTACGCCTGCGACCCTGATGAGGAAAAGTGGAGTAGAAAATAGATGGACGGGTAGGAGCCTTCGACGGCATAACAGTCAAATATCCACATCTGTCCTTGTACATCTCAAAAAATGACCAAGACGCTTTTATGAAAATCATAGTTAAGAAGTCCGATCATGTCAGATGTCACCATACGTCACAACGGCTATGTGTCAACAAATTGTGTGCGTGTTTTGGCTTTCTCTCTGTGTGACATTTAAAAATGTTATTTGACACAAAAAAAAAAAAAATCAACTCCAACCAGTTGTAGGATGGCTCCTGTTTGACCCTGGAACAGATTATTCCCATTTCCATTATTTCCTAAACTTGATTCGGGATGCGTGTTCATCCTTTAATCTTGCACGGTTTACAAGTCTTTCTTCACAACCATGGTGATTTGTACTAATTGAAAATGAGCTTAAGTTCTTAAATTTGGAGACCCAAGGACACCACGACACTGAGCAAAGTACCGCTAACTCAGACATCATCCCACCATGCGGGTAAATAATTCTTTATACTGCTTAGTTTACACCCAAAAGCAGGCAATTCTCAGTGGACGGCACAGAGCAGTGGCAGGCATAAATGGAATCTTAAAAGCGGCCTAATTAGAATCACACATAAATCATTTGGTGCTGGTAAGCGTTTGATTAGCTCGCAAAAGGGACAAGGGTTTTACAACTGAACGGCAGCGCGCCGACTCCCAACTGCAGAGGTGTGCAACACATAAGGGTCCCAGCAAGACAACTCTTGCCACATGTTCAGCGCTCCCCCATTAAAAAGCCTGGGGAAATTAATGAGCTTCCATTGGCACCCTCACAACAAAGGGATCTATAAAGCCGCCTTAATGTTCTCGCAAGAAACTTTACTCTTCAGTAGTTCCCAATCAACCGGTAGCAGCAGATTTGCTTTTATTTCCCCTGTAACCGAAAACGCTGCCTGCTGCGACTTTTACATGAATGTTACCCCTGATTGAAATTGTTTGTCGCTCATTCTTAATTAAAGATACGTCAATAGTTAGCGGCCTAGGCTTGTGAAAATGTGACGACGTATATAAAAAATGCGGTCTGCAAACCATGCAGTGTGCTCGAAAAAATCCATAAAATATGACTGAATTTGGTTTATTTGTTGCTCACGCAAAACGCTCTATAAAGTATCTAACATCTTATAAACTTGACATCGATTCTGTTGTTTTCCCTGCAAGTACGCAATTAAGAGCGTGGTGCAGAACAAGAGTGCGGAGGTTTGCAGAAAGGTATTAATTGGAACTTTATTTATGCGGATATGCTGCAAATTTGCATTAAAACACCATTGCACAGATGGGTTTATGGCGCCAATGTCTGCGCCAGTCGGCAGTAAAACATCTGCTTGATCACAACACGGGAAGTCAGTCGCACACTGACAAATGTCTCGTAGAGGCCTCAACCACTAAAAAGTGTTCTTGCCTTTTTTGACCCTCGATCGCAATAACTAACGTATTAAGTTGACTTTAAGGCACAATAGTGGATTTATGTTTAATTGGATTTTTACATTATTTTTAGAAGATGGGTGTATGGATGGAAACTATTTCAAACAATAGCTATTTGGTGAGGACACATACACACACGCCCATATATCCAACCATCCATCCAGCCATTTTTATCTGATTCGCTTATCCTCACAAGGGTCGCGGGGAGCGCCGGAGCCTCTCCAATCTGTCTTTGGGCAGTAGGTGGGGTACACCCTGCACTGGTTGCCAGCCAATCACAGGGCACACACACACACACACACACACACACACACACACACACACACACACACACACACACACACAGACAAACAACCATCCACGCTTACACTCACACGTGGGGACTATTTAGAGCAGTGGCTCTTAACCTTGTTCGAGGTACCGAACCCAACCAGTTGATATGCACATTCAGTGACCCCTTCATTAGTGAAAAATAAAAATATGAATTTTTTACAAATTCAAGATATAAAAAAGTAAATAAAATTTAAAGACATATGTTTTTTTAATTGTGCATAAAAGGAACAAAATAAATCTCCATGCAGTTTCAAGAAATGTTCCTTCAGTTTTGCCTGTGCGAGACTAGAGTTGCTCAACTTGTCATGACAAATCATGCTGAGTCCCATCACGTTCTGTGATGCATGGGAATCCATGTTGTACATATTCATACGACCACTTTCTTTTTTTTGCTGGACATATCATATATTCAAAAATTTGTCTTTTTTTTTTTTTTTTTTTTTTAATCACACGACGCACTATCACGACAGTCACACGTTGACTACTGAGTGAACTAAATTTCCCGCAGCACTGATTGGACAAGCAATGTAATGTGATCATCTGCAGTCAGTGATGGCCAAGCAGGCGTGTCATAACTAATTGGCATGTTGAATCGGGTGTGTCTTAACCTCCATGGCAGAGGCTCCGTTGAACCCCTGAGACCGATACACCGAACCCCTGGGGTTCCATCGAACCCATGTTAAGCACCACTGATTAGAGTGTTCCATTAACCTGCCATGCATGTTTTTGGAATGTGGGAGGAAACCGGAGTACCCGGACAAAACCCACATAGGCACAGGGAGAACAAGCAAACTCCACACAGGAAGGCCAAAGCCGAAATCGAACCCTGCACCTCTGCACTGTGAGGCCGACGCGCTAACCAGTTAACCAATGGAGCGCCTACCTACTAATCTAACTATCTATACACACACACACACACACGCACACACACACACAATAGACATGCTACCTTTTAAATGTGCGATTTTAGTGGATACACCCCTTTCTGACTTTTTATGAGAAGCTCAGGGGAGCAGTTACATCTTTCCTCTGTGCTCCTTCTTGTCAAATAGCAGACACTGATGGACTCAAAACACATAACACCAGTCACACGTGGTATAAATAAATTACCTTTCATTTGGGATTTGATACAGCACTACGACATTGAAACAGTAGCGGTAACAGCACTAAACATGTCTTGACAGAAACGTCTGCTCAGTCATTCATGACTAATGTTGATTTTCTCCAGCTATCGTGACACGTGAACACTAAACTAAAGCTCTTAGAGAATATCAGTCTTTTCTGCGTGGAATGTGAGTTTGCTTGTTTCTTGGTAGTCGAGTGAATCTTCATTTCTTCTGAGATTTTTCTTTTACCTATGTGCTGCTTATAAAAACCAGTCAAAGAAAAGGCAAAACACCTTGATGCTGGCTGAGATTAGATCTGGTGACGTGCACTCATGGCAAACATTTGTCATTTTTCCAAAATGTTCATCTTTCGATTTTAAGTCTTGAGCTTCTATTGTAACACATGTGGCTCACACTGGAGAGGCTGCAGCTTTGAATCTTTGCTCGGACACGATGTATTCTCCCTGTGCTCGTGTAGGTTTTTGCCCTCAGCTTCCCTGACTTCCTCCTATAAATTCCCCCAAAATGCTTTTTTAATTAATTTGGCATTAATTGCCCATTAATTTGAATGTGAACACTTGTCTGTCAAGATTTATCCTGTGACTGATTTGCGACCAGTCCAGAGCATACCTTGTCTCTTGCCCAAAGTCACTTGGACTGGCTCCAGCTTACCTGAAACCCTAATGATGACAAGAATGCAACTTCTGTTGCATTATCATGGTTTCTTGTTTATTTTTAGTTTTGATATTATTTTACTATTATTATTCATCGCAATACGCACGCAATCTGACCCAAGGTGCAATGTTCAGGTGAACTCTACCTTCGCATAAATAAATAAATAAATAAAACCACCCACCCATGTAAAGTATCACCTAACCTGGTTCCGGACTCTACATCTAGCAGCTAAGAGAAAAAAATTCAATCTTCAAAAGCAGGCCTAGTTAAAAGACTCAAACATTTACCGGTGGCGCTCTGAAGTGGAGAATAAATGAAAATGTAGTCTTATCGTACTGGCAAGAACAATCCACTCTTAAGAGGAGAGCCGATTTTGTTCCAAGCTGGGCCAAGTCTTTGTCTGTGTGTGCCAAGCGTGTTGAAAATATCCCACTTTATGTCTCTTTAATCCACACAAACACACACTCTTGCACCGGCGCTGTGTGGCTGCAAGGTCACTTCAAGTATTGATAAATCACCCAGCTGTGATTCCCTCCTGACAGCTCAAACTAACATCAAGCTGGATGGTGGGGGGGAGAACAAAAGACCATCAAGCGGCCCTTTTTCCTGACACTTTTATTCAATCACGGCCAGATTGCTTACGACAGCACCAGCAGCTGTTTCGTCTTCATCTTTCCCCATTTGATAAAGCGTGTCAAGTCATATTTCTGCAAGTACTTCACCTCACCCCATACTGTGCCGCTCACCAGCCAGCCAAGCCATTGGGCATATGCACATTCCACATGAGGGGATCGTCAAATGGGTCAGGGAGTAATGGCACCCCTCTGAAGGTCGCTGTGGAGCGGGGGTTGGGGGGGGGGGTGACTAGGTGCGTGGGTGCAGCGGGGGTTGACGACAAAGCAACAAGCTGAAGGTCAAAGATAAGAACAGTCGCAGAGATATCTAAGATAGCCGCTCGGAATTAAACAATGAGGCAAAGGCGGCGCGACGTCGATTGTGCGATTGTGTTGTTTTTAAGAGGCGGGATTGGTTTATTTCGGGATGCCGGAGCTCTTCTGTTGACCTCGCGCTCGGCGGGATGGAGGTCGGCGATAGGACAGGAGCAGCGTTGCATATGTCCATCCATTGTTTGTTTGCAGACAAAACGTCAACAACAGAAATGAGAATTCCATTTTGCAGCTGCCTCGGAATCTTTTTTGACGGTGTTGTGGTGGCCGTGAACATAACAGGCCCTGCTTTTCCTGTATGAGTGAACAACAATCACAGGTGTTGAAGGTCATTTTGAGGGGGGTGATGAGGGCCATGTTTGCTTTGACATTTAACACTTTTTGCAACAGCATGATCACACTCAGAATTTAGAAAAATCATTTATTTTTATTACTTTATTAGGAAGGGCATAACATATCTGTGAGAGTTGGAAAGGAGTAAAAAGTGGTGCGCTGTCAAGGTAAAACCAATGAGTACTCACACAGGGGGACAACTTAACAGGGGGCACATGACACGACGAAGTTGGAGTAAACACTCCTGAATCCCACTGATTTAGTGTAACGCAAATGAACTGACCAAAGTGAACCAAAACTATTTATCATTCAATTTTTTCGGATCCGCTTATCCTCACAAGGGTCGCGGGGTGTGCTGGAGCCTATCCCGGCTGTCCTTGGGGTACACCCTGAACTGGTTGCCAGCCAGTCGCAGGGCACAGACGAACAAACATCCACACTCACATTCATACCTAGGGACAATTTGGAGTGTTCTCTTAACTTCCCACGCAGGTTCTTAGAATGTGGGAGGAAACCAGAGTACCCGGACAAAACCCACGTAGGCAAGGGAAGAACAAGCAAATTCCACACAGGAAGGCCAGAGCCGGAATCGAACCCTGCATCTCTGCACTGTGAGGCGGACACACTAATCAGTTGTCCGCCAAACCAAAACTACTTCTGGTGAATTTTCCCAAACACGCGAATGAATAAAATGGTGAAATGAATGAATGGCTGATGGCTATTATGAAGAACTAATTTGTCACACCAAGCCAGCAGAATCAAAAGACACACGAGGGATAAGGTCTAACAAACACAACATAACAATACACACGACAAAGCCAGCCCCAGGTAGTGAGTACACACACAAAACAGGACTTTACTCTGAAAAACCGAGACCTAAAACAGTGGAAGTTAATCTTTGCAGGTGGTGGCACACCTGAAGCTATTTGCTAATTGAGTCACTCTCCTCTGCACTGACTGGTCGGCTAAGTTGGGACCGAGGGCCACCGATCAGAAAGGCGCAGGGGGAGAGCTCCCACACACATACAAAGATTAGGTAGCATAGTTGGCGACTGATTAGCACATTTGTCTCACAGTGCAGAGGTGCAGGGTTCGATTCCAGGCCCCTTGTGTGGATTTTGCATGCTATCCCCGTGGGGTTTTCTCCAGGTACTCCGGTTTCCTTCCACATTCCAAAAACATGCATGGTAAGTTCATGGAATACTGTAAATTGTCCCTTGGTGTGATTGTGAGTGAGAATGGTTTATTGTATCTGTGTGCATTGCGATTGGCCGGCAACCAGTTCAGGGTGTACACTGCCTACTGCCTGAAGACCACTTTGATAGGCTTAACATGCCTGCAACCCCCGTGAGGATAAGCGAATTAGAAAATGGATGTAAGGATATAAAGATGAATGAATAAACGGCCACGAACCGATTCATGACCAAATCGTGTGTTGGACCCCTTGCTGAATTTCAACATTCTTTCAAGATACCCTATTGAGGGCAAGTACTATAGAAAATGGATGGATGGCTGTTAGCAGACAGCCATCCAACCATCCATCCATTTTCAACACCGCCTATCTTGAACAGGGTTGCGGGGAGTAGCTGGAGCCAGCTGACTTTGGGCAGAAGGCAGACTACACTCGGAACTGGTCGCCGGCCAGTCGCAGGGCAGTTACCAGACATTTTGAACAATGATATACTCTCAACTTTGTGGGAGCAGTTTGACAGAGACCCTTTGCTGGTCCACATGAGAAAAGGATAACGTGAGAGTTCCGACCTTTATCCCGATCAAACACCTTTGGGATAAACGAAACTGACAGTTTGAACCGGGTCCTTTCAACAACTGCACGACAGCTGTGGTCTTGTGACAAAAATTGAGCTTGTATGCAGTTTTGGCCAAAATGAATGGTCACTAATTCCACTGAGATTCATTTGTCAGGTGGAATGTCTGGAAAAGCTTGCATGGAGGAAAAAAATGGGACAGCTCACTCGGCTCAAACTTGGCCTGGCTCCCGGGAATGCGGTTAGCAAGCATACAATCACCGCCTATTGACGGTAGCACAGCTGCTGTGGACATATGTTTCACCACTAAAGGAGGACAACATCAACCAGGCGCACCTTGAACAGGTGAGCAGATGAATGGCATGTTCGCGCCTTTGACTGGCTGCCTGCCCTCCATTCCTCACAATTTTTGCATGGCTCGACAAATAAGTTGCTTGACAGCATGGTGGACAAAAACCTTTTCTAATCTGCGACAGCACATGGTAGGCATTTTGTTTTTCGTAGAAATAGATGCCTAAATGTGTTTTTTTCACGTATATTTGAGCTCAGTAAACCTCATTTTTGTAACAAAAAGAGGGGGAAAAAAAACAGCACATGGAAAGGCAGAGTAAGGGATTATACTGTTACGGAGAGCCCCTGCAAACCGACAACTACAGTATGCAACTAGTATTTATTCAGTGAATAATTTTTATACAATTCATAATCTGAGTCACAGATGAACATTGTTGCAATGTTGAATTTGTAATTTTAAATGCCATTTTTTTTAAATGCCATGTCATATCATGAGCTTTCACAACAAAAATGATGGGTCTGGGTACGAAGCGAAATCCATCTGCCTGCCTTCAAAATGCACCAATACAGTTTCATTATTTAATTTTACAATACTACTTAACAATATTTAGCTTTTCATACCTGTGGTGAAAAAGCAAAGTGTCAAGAGGTTCAGGTGCAGAAATGCTCATGATTTAGGGTCCTAATTTAAGCCTTTTGGGTGGGTTACCATGAGCCACGTTGCGGTGGCCCGGCCAGAACGGGCAATGGCCTTGTATATTCACAATATATATTTAAAAAAAAAAAAAAAAACGTTTCTTGGTTTATTGTTCTGTCTTTATACAGTGTTATTTAAGCCTTTAAGACTTCTGTGTAGTTTTTTTTTTTTTTGTATAGTATGTTTTTCTTTACAGTATAAAATACAACTATTTAATATTTGACATTTTCTGGGCTTTATATCTCGTTCAAACAATTCCGTATTTAACAAGTTGAACAAAAAAAATCTGTGCAGCATGGTAAAAAGGTCACTGATGATTGAACACCTTAAGTGGCTAAAACTTCAAATATTGAATACTAAAAAAGCAAAATGTTGATTTCATTGAATTTAGTTATGAAGTTTGTGCTGGCCCAGTCAGGCCAGTGGAAATGAACTTAAGGTCGGACACGGTCATGTAATGGACCCGGGCCACTGCTAATGTAGAACCGAGCTATGTGATTCATCGCCAACAGGCTCTCAAATATCAACACTCTCAACTTTGCTTCTCGTCCGTTTCCTCTCTTTATGTAGCAATACATCAGCAGTGGCCTGGGAAATCCACTTCTTCCTGGACAATCGTGCTATATTGTTTGTGGTTCAAAAAAATGTGGCGCCTCAAAACATTTCCCGATAAGAACACGAGGTGTTGCAGGTTGTCTGTCGCAACGAGTTAGTATGTATGCGAGGGTCAGTCACCAGGTGTGCGAGTGTGCATTTCCGACCGTAATTTATATCCAGTTCAGTGGCATTTGGCCACGTTTCTCGGTGTGCGTGTGGTCAACAAAGATTTTGAGTGCGCCACAGACCCCGATCTTGTTAAATGAAATGCAATGATGAAGACACCTGAAACTCAACAAATGGGTTGTGTATGTCTTTGAATATTTTAAACTTCCATTCATGCCAGTTGTTGTGTTGGGCAGAATGATGCTACCTGGAGTCATCAGCATCTGTGGTAGCAGGCCTTACATTACATGTCATGTTCTTGTAGGTGACTTAAGAGCGCCTCTGCTGGTTGCAAGTAATTGCTGAAGCCAATTTTGTCTCAATTGTTTCAAGGCGCAAAGTCCACTGAATTCTCAAGGATCGTTTCATCGGTGAATCGAGAACTCTGCCTCACCCTAGTTGGTATGGAGTGTATAGGACTTTCCCGTTTGTATACCAACATGTTATGTCTGTTTGTCATCTTACTGCATCCTGCAAGAATGTGTAAGTAACCCGCAAGAAACAAACAAGCAAGGTGCTACATGATTTCATTGCCGCCCACTTCAGTTAATAGGCTGCTTGACGGAGGTGCGCTCAAGCAATTTTGTGGTGTTCTGGTGCTACGTGTGAACTGGTTGACATTGGTCACACATTGAGAGGGTTTAAGGAGGACAATAATTCACAGGGAGTGGCATTAAGGAACCCTAACAGCACATCCGGCTTGCTGAACAAAGACTTTTCGCCTGGCACTCCTACTCGCAAATGACCAAAATGTGAGAGAAAAAGATTACATTTATTCATAGCCTTCTTTCATCAAGCAGCTTATAACCCAAACTTGGAATGTAACGCCAAATTATATGCATATTGAGCTGACCTCTTTCACCTTTTTTTTTTCCTCTTAAAGCCATGGAGGATGTGTGATATGCAAAAAGCCTGCAGATCCTTCCGCTCGTCGTTTAGACCATTTCAGCACTTTTTCAAGCCGTCCAAGGGTGATCACGTTGGTCAGTCATAGATAAAGAAGGGGCTCCTCCATTAGCATGGAGGTCAAACATGATGGGTTAAAAAAAAAAGAATAGAAAACCTATCTGACATTGTGGGAAGAAAAACCCCCGTGTCCCTTTGTCACATCTTTCTTTGTGACCTGTTTACACATCGTAACTCCTTAGCTTTAGCGAAGTGCTCAAAGGCCACAAAGCACCTGATGGTTCCATCCTGCCATTTGTAGGAGAGGGGCCTGAGAGCTGAGCGCCTCTCTAATGACTATCAACTGCATTATGGGAGCAAATGGAACATTTCCTGTGTGCATTACGTTTGCTCTGCGTACCTCCATTACTCTGCTTTAAACAAGAAATACATTTGAGATCATTTTTAAAGCTGCATTCAGAGACCCTTTTCGCAGGTTTTATTTTAAGTGGGATGATGGGATGATACACTTTTTTTTTAAACACCGTCTCCAGTGAAGTTATGTCAAATGTAAATAAAAACAAAACACAATGGTGATTTGCAAATAGTTTTCAACCTATATACAATTGAATACACTACAAAGTCAGGATATTTGACGCAGTGGTCGTCCTAGTCATTGGTGCCCATAGTGAGGGAACCACAGCCAACACAACAGGGGAAGCCTTCCAAAGCAAAATGTACCGCAGGACATGTCCACACTGAAGGAAGGGCAGGCAGAACCAAAAGACATGGACCACAAGCAACTCACGCACCATCAAGTGCAGAAAGTCACACAGTAACAAATAAAAAAGGAATAAGCCAAGAGAATGGAGGGCTGAGACGCCCTGCGTGGCAGAAGCAAGTCACCCAGCACAAGCCACGGGAATAAAAAGCCCATGTAACAAGGAGACGACTTAGCTTGAATTCCCCAATGATGTTCGGAAAGTCTGCGTGAGAAGCCGCAGAATGGGAGAGAGGAGGTGAACGTAGCTGTCACTAGCAAAGGCACACAGCAAACTTCAAGGCAACGCCGCTGGCGAGACACGGCAGCAGTCGCGGCAATACGAAGAGCGAGTGCAGAGGCGCACCAGCAAAAGCCCCGCAATGCTGCAAGCTAGGAGAGGATGCGTGAACGCAACCTTTGCCAGCAAAGGCACACAACATGCCAAGGCAAAACCACTGGCAAAACACAGCAGTGGCAGCCGCAACGCCGTCAAGCTGGAAAAGGGCATGCGTGGAAGACCCCCACCAGCAAACTAAAAGGCAACTTTGCCGGAGAAAACCCAACGGCGGCAGTGCTAACAAGCAGGGTCAAAAGAAGTAACCGCAGGGTACACAACCCAGGTGTAAACACCAGGACAAATGTCCCAGCAACAAGAGTTAGCCTGCGGCCCAAGCGGTCACCATCAAAGCGAGACTATCAAAGTGCCCAGCTACCTTACCTCATGCAGTCACAGGTTGTAACATATGAAAAGAATGCCACAGCGGCGATAAACCAGCAAGAGCAGGGCACAGACTAACCAAAACAGTTTCATAGCTTTAGGCGGGTGAAAAACTCGGCAACTCCGACCAACATGGTCACGTGGCTCCCAGCGACTGAATGCAGATGAAGATAGAAAATTCCTTTGATCCGCAGGGTACAGCACAACCCGCATTTGAATGACACGTGAGTACAAAGGAGGGACTGACCCTTAGGTGACATTGGCTCTTGTACCTGGCCCTTTATCACCAAGGGGTCATCAATGACGTTGGTATACATAGTCAAACTGTGTGTCGCATAAAGGGACGTTTTATGCTGTTAGACATCGCACACATTTTCAATGGGAGACAGGTCTGGACTGTAGGCAGGCCAGTCTACTACTCGCGTGTTTTAGGGTCATGTTTTAGGTCATAGAACTACCGATTGTTCTTTTAAACTCATTGTCACATCAAATTTATCAAATAATCAGCAAAACTTAAGTATGCTGACTGTAACCTAAATTCAACCTCTGCGTTAATTATTTCCAAGGGAAGCTGCATTGATCTCGTACCTCAGCCCAACAATTACTGGAAACTTTGTGTAAGATAAAAACACATTATGTGCCTCCCCCCTTTGTGAGAGACGGCGCTAAGTCACAGGAGTATTCATTAAAGCCTTTTTTGTGTCCCGTTTGAAACCAAGGGGTTTAGCTGTGGGGGCATCTCTATGGAAGAGATATAATGATCATCCAATTAAACATGGAATCATGAGACCTGTTTATTAGTCCTAATTCATCTCTTCATTGTGCTGAGCATATCAAATACCGCTAGAAGAGGGGGAGGAAAGAAAAAAAAAATCAACAATTTGCCCAGCGTAATTACAGATGTTTTTAATAGTTTCACAATAATGACGAGCACCAGCTATTCACATCATTTCCCGCTGTCAAGAACAATGTAACATCGCTGGGAGAGTGGCCATTAAAGCCTACAGTGATGGCAGCTCAGTGGCGGCTTGCATTGCACAGATTACCCTGAAGCGGATGATACGTTTTCATTAACAAAAAGGCTTTCTGTATTAATTCCAAACGGATTGATATTTCTGAGACACTTCTCCATGTTTTGTAGCTTATCATACAACGACAGGCTTTTGTCGCATTTTTCATTAACAACAATACGATGGTGAAAACTGCACCATGAAGGTTTTTTTTTTTCAGTGAAAAAAATAATTACACACAACTGTACAATGACCACATGACCAACTGTACAGCTGTTTAGTCGCCTCCGCTCCGATAGACGGTGTCCCCCAATTAATCATCCATCCATCCATCCATTATCCGAGCCACTTATCCGAGCCAATTATCCTCACGTGGGCGTGCCGGAGCCTCTACCAGCCGTCTA